TGTTTTGGATATCACTTTCAAATGGGTTTTAATTTTATATTTCATGTCTACTTTAGTCTGAGCTGCATTTTGGAGTTTATTCTCTCTATTCTGTCTGCCTTTTTGGGGTCTACAGTTTGTTCCTTTACATTCTTCTTGTTGATTTATTTATTTTTTTTAAAATCATTGTTATTTTTGCTGTTCCCTATCCTTCTATCTCTAATTTACCTCGTGTTCTTATCTGCCAACCCATTTGGATCGTTTTGCGTATTGGATATGAATATCAAATATTAGGATTAAATGTCTAGAATATGAAATAGTTCTGTTTATAATTTAAACATTTGTCCTTTCCAAGAATTGTTGTTTTGGAAATGATCTATTTTTGTTATATAGGTTTCCTTCCTGACAACTTAATTAGATTAATCAATTAGATAGATCTGAAAGAACAAATTAATAATATTAAATTGAAAGATTCGATTCATAGTCATTAGAATTTGGTTGCAGCGGCCATACAGTGTTTGAAGAGGAAAAGGCTTTATGAACAGCAAGTAGAGCAACTTGGAAATTTCCAATTGCGTATCCATGATCAGGTGAGCTGGAGTTGTTATTTACTGATTGATGAGACATTTATTTCTTCTACTTTCAGTTAACTGCATTGAACTAAACCTTTTACTTTATGAACAATTTTTTTACTGTTGCAGATGATTATGTTAGAAGGCGCAAAAGCTACAACGGAGACTGTCGACGCTTTGAGAACAGGAGCATCTGCAATGAAGGCCATGCAGAAAGCAACGTATGCCAAATATTTATTTGCTTTGCTCTCTTTCTGCCTTTGTGGGTTATAATCTTTAGGATTTTCTTCTTGCTGGGTTATAGTCATCTTAGATATATAGTTCCAAGGTTTCTATAAAAATTTTAACCAACATTCTTTTTGTGTTTATAATTGATCTTTTAACACAACTATTAACATTACTATTATTTATGCACTTCGTTCATCGAGTTATTGATGTTATGCTAACCAATCTTGAGAAAGTTAGCTATTACCATTAAGCATTACTTGCAATGGCCACTGAAAAATGAAATAATTTGTGAAAGTTTGTTTCATGTTTTGTTTCTTTAACCGAGGTTGTGAAATTTGGAACCGTACTTATTCTTAAAAAACTTTCTTCTCCAGAAACATTGATGATGTGGACAAGACGATGGATGAGATCAATGAGCAGACTGAGAATATGAAACAGATACAGGAAGCGCTGTCAACTCCAATTGGTGCTGCAGCTGATTTCGATGAGGTACTTAATCTTTGGCTTGTTTCTTGGCCTTTCCCGGTATTTGCTTATGTCTCATAATTCATCTATTAACAATGGTGGTGTAATCAGGATGAATTGGAGGCAGAACTCGAGGAGCTTGAAAGTGCTGAGTTGGAAGAACAACTTCTCCAGCCAGCCTCAACGGCTCCTGCTGGACCTGTCTCAGTCCTGTCAGGCCGAGTTCCTGCTCGCCCTGTTCCACAGAAGAGAACTGCTGAAGAAGACGAGCTCGCAGCTCTGCAAGCTGAGATGGCCCTCTAACCAGGTTTGTTCCGTAGCCCAATCTATAAGCTGAAGAGCTCCGATTAACAGTAAATGTTTTGATTATTTATTGTTATCTTGTCTTTTGCAGTACTTAATAAACTCGATGAACTAAATTTGTAGTTGAACGTTGTTTTATCTTAAAAAATTACCTTTTATCCATTGTTTGAGCAGAAAACTGAATTTTAATTGGACATATGCAGGTGGTTCATATGAGTATCATCTTCTGGCAGATTGCATCCGAACCTTCTAAGCGTTTGATTGAAATTTTACACAAATTACCCTTCCCTGCGGCAAGACAATGTATATATAAAGGTGCAAAGTTACTGGGATCTTCATCTTAAAATCATCTAAAAATTTTATACGAATCTTCAATTTTAAATTATTGGGAAATGTAGGTAATATTTGAGTAATTATAATTTCTTTGACTTATAATAAAAATGCCATGTTTGTTTACTATATTTAAGTTTTGACTGAAGGTAGTGATGAGTTTAGTTGCCTTAGTTATCAACCTTCCCCACACTGGCGTCCTTGGAATTTACTTGAGTGCTGAAACTGGGCAAGCCCATATATACTGACTAGGCATTCGGACGGTCAAATATATTACTGATTGGATCTGCGCGGCCCAGCCCAAATTCTATTTCGCTTGTACGCTGGGCTCACATTGAGCTTGGCCCAAAGTTCGGCCCAAGTAATCTCTAGTTCGCATGTTTTCAAATATTCTCATTTAGTCCACTTTCAATAACGATTAAAATTAGTTTATTGGTAACGCATTAGAAACAATTTAGTCTATTAATATTTTCTTTATAAATTTAGTAAATATGTTTACATAATATTTTTTCATGCATAAAAATTATGGTTCTACTAATTAAGACATATTTCAACTGCGAGGTCAGATAATAGAAGCTTCATTTGAAAAACCTTCCGTACACCAACTCACGTGGCTTCGCCAACTTTGAAACATGGGGGTAGCCTTGTCATGTCACACACCAATTATAAGAAATCATGAAACCCACATCATTTGACTGCAACAGGGATCTAAAAATGAATGGATCTACTCTATAATGAAGGTGTTAAATGGAGGAGGTTTCATACGATTCCTTCTTGTAACTGCTTCCAATTAGGTGGTGAACAAGCACGCCTGCTGCAACGCCGACGTTTAAGCTCTCCACAGCCATAAAGGATCGAAACTCGTCAACCGAGCTCTCCTTTGTTGGTTGTGTTGTTTCTATGTCATTATCTCTATCAATTGCTACATCAACTGGAATATTCCCAGGTATTTTAACAAGCTGTGAACAAGATCTCTCCACCAAGGGCCTCAAACCAGTGCCTTCACTGCCCAACACTAGGATTGTTGGTGCCCCCGGTGGTACCTCTTCCAAATCAATGGATTTCGAAGAAACCGAAGCTCCAAGGACTCGCCAACCGTTCTCAGCCGAGGATGTTAAGAATTGCATCATGTTCTTACAATACCTAAGCTCCATCAACTCAAGCGAACCAGCACTAGCTTTACTAACAACACCACTTAATGGAGCTGAATTCTTTGCACATAACACAACCCCTGACGCACCAAAGAAATAAGCCGATCTTATTATCGCCCCCAAGTTTTGAGGGTCTGTAACTTCGTCCAACGCTAACCAAAGCGAGCCTTTGTCTTCTTCAAGTGAGACAGGATCCAACTCCATTATTTTTACCATTTCCAAGGGAGAGGCGTCTAGCACGAGACCTTGATGTGGACGGTTATCCGAAAGCATATTCAAATCATGCTTCGATATTTCCTTTACGGTTAACGCATTCCTTTCAGCCAACCTAAGAACTTTCTCAAACCCTTTCTTGTCCTTCTTCTTCTTGTTATTGTTGTTCAAGTCGAGTCCTTCTTGCATATACAATGCATAGAACTCTCTTCTTCCAGCTGACAAAGCCGCCAACACTGGTCCGACCCCATAAACACCTTCACCAACCATTTTAGGCAGAGTGGATTCAGAAGCTTCCTTCCATGTTTTTCTACTCCAGCTTTCCTGTTTATTCCATCTCTGAAACTCATGTCTCTCGAATTTACTTTTGATCTTATCCCATCTCGGATCAGCAATGGCCTCAGTTTCTTCATCTTCTACTTCGACATCACGGTTTCGCTGCTCCTCATTATCAACTCTTCCCCTCCTACTTTCTCTTCTTTCATCGGCATACTCCATGCCTTGTGTACCAAACTTCTCTGCAGAGACCTCCCAAGAAGAACGGTAAGCGCTTCCAACAGGTGCTTTGCCATATCTCTTTTCTGGTTCATCCCCAGATGGCCTATTACCCCTTTTCCCAAATGTCTTCTTTGAATAGTCCCATGAAGACCTCATCTTTTCTGACCCAGAATTTGATTCCTTCCATGACGATCGATCCCCTCTCTTCTTTGTTGTTGATTTATCCAACCATTTTGCCTTCTCAAAACTGTTTGTTGCTGCTAACCAAGGAAGCTTATTCCTAGATTTCACTCCTTCGTCTTTAATTGAATGGGAGCTCGAATACGTTCGAGATTTCAGAGAAGATTCAGCGGTCAAAGCAGGTGAGCTCAATTTGGGGCTTACAAATTTCCTAATTTCTGGAGAGCAATGGTGACTACGCATTGAAAGGTTCATAAGGTTGGCCAGAGAGAAATTAACATGAAAGCTCTGACATGACCCAGATGAAGAAACTGTACAACTAACCCAACTAGAGTTTATTGGAAGTTTTGGACACGTCCGGTGGAAATTTGAGGAGTGAAATGATTTGTAGCATCTGGCTCCTGAAGAAACTCTCATGGCATGAGGAAATGCCTGCCTCTGTTAAAGAAATAGCAGCAGCATTGAATGAACACAATTATAGAGCATAGTCGACTTAGGAAAGAAAAGAGATATGACTGATCATGTCCGAATCAGAACAGACAAACACAAATTTGTTGCTATTCCGCTGTTCTTTAAACAAAAAACCTGCAACAAAAGGTCTAATTTGTGTTCTCAAGTGAGAAGAACGACAGACGAAGATTGGGGGAATACCTGCAACAACAGAGTAGAAAACCAGAGCAAAACCCCTTGGAGGAAGAAGGCTGCGGTGGCAAGAACAGGAGAAAGATGACGGCGGGACGGCGGCACTGGTTAAACGGATGAGGAGACGGCGACGGCGGGAAGAAGAAAAAGAAACGGCGAGCAGAGCAGTTAGGGTTTTCCTCTGTCCTTTGACAATTTTTATTTGATTTCACAATCGCGGGATAAGTTTTTTTTTTTCTTGAAGAAAAAATAAAAAAGAAATTAAATAAGAAAAGAAAAGTTTTCGAAATGACCCAGGATGATACATGTGAACCCGATGGGCCGGCCCAAATTGGCGTATAGCCCCGGCATTCGACAGCACGTGAAATGCACGCTACGAAGACATCTCAGGCTGTCCACTATATATATATATATAGCTCACTCCGTTCGATTTGTCTGGATGAAATTCCCGCGCCTCGACTTCACTTTTCCCGCTCAGTAAACCCTAATCAGAGATGGGACAGAAGCAACAAGCCTCTGCTGATCCATGCCCCAAAACTAAGAAAAAGCGTCGCGTCGTCTTCTCCGCCATCGGTAATTTCTCTCCTCATTTTTTCTCACACTCCTTCAGTTCAATTTCGCTTCCTCATTTCGTTAATTTACAGCTTCTCCCTCCCTTGATAGCTCACTGGAACATGTTCCGTTTTCTCTTTGTATCTCTCGGTGTCGCGCAGATACTGGTGTTGCAGCAAAAGATTGCATCAAAATCTACCTTGGTATGGCTATTTCGCCTTCTTAACTGTTCGATTTCAAAGCGATTTTGTTTGAATCTGCCTGTGCTTCGCTTGGGATAGGTTTTTCATTTTCGTTGATACTTTTTAACTCCTTGTATGTTTTTGAGTCCACGTGGTTCAGTTGAATTGCTCTTTCAGACGACGTGTACAAGGCTCATTTTTTAATTGTGTTTTTTAATAGGACATCTCTAAATTGAAAATTATTACTGCACTCTCTGGTTTGCGACGAATTTTGTGCATTTCCATAGTTACGGGCCCTTCTCACTATAAATTAGTAGCGTTGCCTATTGCGTAGTCTTTTGCTGTGTTATGGGTTGGGTTGGTTGGAAATCTGGTGGTTGGAGTTGCGAGCAAACAATTAGTTTGAGCATTTTATTCATCATTTTTATGTTTGTGTGTTGTTGCAGTTTGTACCAAAGAGGAAGTGGGAAGTACAGATTGTCTTTGTATTGACCCAGTTGACTTGAACAACTTCTTTGAGGACGAAGAGGGAAAGATTTATGGTTACCAAGGCTTGGAGGTAAACGCTTGGATCTGTTTAGAGTAAAGTTTTTGGCTTGTATCTGTGGAATGATATATTTATCCAAAATGGATCGAGGTTGGTGCTGTCTATATTCTTAGGTACCATGCTTTTTGCAGATTACCGTATGGTTCAGCATTGTCTCATTTCAGGCCTACGCGGATATTGTTTTTGAGAGTACGTCTGATGTAAGTGCTTAAATGTTTGCTTGACTATTTTTTGATATCAGAACTTTTATCTCTCTCTCTCTCTCTCTCTTTTTGCTTTTCGTTCTTTTATTCCTTTTGTTTTCCCCCTTGAATGCATTAATTTTTCCTGTTCTGTTTTTGGACATTTGGCAGTAAATATTTTTGTTGCTTGTTATAGGGCGGTAAGGGTGTTACAGATCTGAAATCTGCACTTCAGGTGAATATTTTGAAGTACAGAATTCACAATCCAGTAATTTCTTATTACATAGAGATTATTTTGATAGTTAGACTTGCTTTTTTAACAGAATATATTTGCCGAGACTCTTGTGGACAACAAAGATGAATTCCTTCAAACTTTTTCGAAGGATGTCAATTTTATTGGGTAATTATCAATGTCTGTTACATCTTTATCATAGATTCTTCTGTTTTGTTTATAAACCTTAACTGTGTTCTCATATCTTATCAGATGATGTATTGTTCCCATTTTAAATAAAAATTGCAGATCCCTGGTTGCAGATGGAGAAGTACTGTATCCTAAAGATTCCTCCAACGGGCAATTTTTCATTTCTAACTTTCATTTACAAGCAGCTAATTCTGATTTGGAGGTTCTTTCCTTGTTCGAGTTCTATGTTACTCTGTTATAGTGAAAACTTGTTTTTTTGGATGTTATCATGGAAGATGCCTTTTTACTAGGCTTTTTTCTATCTAGCTCTTTGACAGTATGTTAATCTTGATCTGGTTTTGAGATAAAAAACACTCCCAACGTTCTTGTGCTGTTATGTCATCTTATATTGTTGTAGCAACAACCAGTGTCCTATCCTGTTCATCCTTACTGTTGGTTTTATAATACTTCGGTGTAGGGAATCCTAAAGCCCGTCCTAGAATGCTGTAATCTAGTGTTCTTTCTCCCCATTACCATGTAAGATAGTAGTTTTTATCATCCAGGCTTTGGAACATGGTTCTTAAGAGGAATTTATTGCATCTCTACCGTGATTTCCCCACTTGTAGCTAGTTTATTGATTAAGTTGGTCAAGGAAATGAAAATAAACTTCTGCAGTTTTGTCAGGTAATGTAATTCAAAGTTTATTGACTTGGTTTGTCTGATTACCTTCTGATCCAGGTCTTTCGATTGGCTATGGACAATATGGCTGGAAGAAACCTCTATAGTCGCTTGGTTCCTCTTGCTCTTCTTCTTATTGATGGTATTTATTGTCTTATTCGATGTCTCATTTAATTTTATCATTGGAAATTTCTTTTAATGTTCCAGAGACTGATCAAGTATAGAACCTAAAATGTCACTTTTTTTTTTTGTTTTTAATATAATTAGGTAGCAGCCCTATTGATGTTTCTGATCCAAGATGGGAGTTGTATGTCCTTATTCAGAAGAACAATGGTCAAATGGGGCAAACACATCCTACATTGCTAGGATTTGCTGCCCTTTATCGCTTCTACCACTATCCTGACAGTTCTCGCTTGCGTCTGAGCCAGGTTTAGTATTTTTATCTGCTGCTTCTTGTGGTCGAGTCTAGTTAGTGAATTGCAGTGTCTGAGCCAGGTTTAGTATTTTTATCTGCTACCATTTACTCTGATGTCTGGCATTTGTTCAGATACTTATTCTCCCTCCTTACCAGCGCAAGGGCTTTGGGTTTTTCCTTTTAGAGGTGCTGAACAATGTTGCAATATCAGAAAATGTTTATGACTTTACCATTGAAGAGCCATTAAGTCAGCTACTACAGATGCGAACTTGCATTGATGTTAGACGTCTGCGGGGATTTGGCCCCATTCAAGAAGCTGTAGAATCTGCCGTTTCTCAATTTAAACTTGGGAAGCTATCAAAGAAGGTTTCCTTCCCTCCGCTTTTACCCCCAACTGCGGCTATTGTAGATGTTAGAAAAAGTTTGAAAATTACGAAGGAACAGTTCTTACACTGTTGGGAGATACTAGTCTTTTTAGGTCTCGAACCCGACAAGCACATGGAAGATTTTATTCTTGCAGTTTCAAGTAGAATGCGAGATGAATTGCTTGGTGAAAGCTCAGACGCCGAAGGGAAACAAGTGATCGATGTTCCTACTGATTATGATCAAGAGATGTCATTTGTAATGTTCAGATCAACGAGCAATGCGACTAGCATTGAGGCGGATGAATACCGGGCTAATCAAGAAGAACAACTCAAAAAGCTAGTAGACGATAGAGTGAAAGAAATCAAGCTGATTGCACAAAAGGTATCTGCAGTTTAATTCCCGAACATATCACGCCTTTTTAGAGCTCTCTTTTAACAAAAATCTGTTCACTGAAGCAGCAGATTGTTTATTATTCGTCCCCGATTAATTGGGATGAACAGATTACCAGGGTTTTTCCAGAATCGAGGAAAGTTTGCCGTAACTTTCTGAGTTCTTCGACCTTGAATCTTGACTAAAGTATCACAATTCCTTGTACCATATGAATTAGTGTATTTGTCACTGTAGGAAAGGGCCAGAGGAAAGTAGTCTGTACTAGGATCTAAATGGATAGACATTTTGCCGTAAAAATGGTGTCAACTATGGCCAATCAGCTGTATGATGTCGACTTTGGCTAGCTTGATAATGGCTTGTGATATGATCTCGAATATAAGTTATTTCCATATTGAACTATTAGAATTTAGCCATTTATTTTCTTGGCCCATGTTTTGAAACGCATGCCCAATTATACCTTGTCGTTCCATTTTGAGGCCCAAATTGTACAAAAGACCATTTTTGGAAAGCCCAGCCCACTTATACCATATCGATACATTGTGAGGCCAAAACTCAACGAAAGCCCATGTTTTAAACAGCCAAGCCCAATTATACCTAACCGATCCATATTGAGGCTCAAACTGGACGAAAGCCCATGTTTTAAAGGCCCAGCACAATTATACCTTAACGATCCTTTAGAGGCCCAAACCTAACGAAAGCCCATGCTTTTAACAAGCCCGGCCCAATTATACCATAACGAACCGTTTGAGGCCCAAACTGGACGAAAGCCCATGTTTAAAAAGGCCCGGCCCAATAAAACCTTATTAATCCATATCGAGGCCCAAACTGGACAAAAGCCCATGTCTTAAAGGCCCAGCCCAATTGTATAGCGATCCGTTTTGAGCCCTAAACAGAATGAAAGCCCATGTTTGAAAAGCCCGGCCCAATTAAACCTTATCGATCCTTTCTGAGGCCCAGACTAGCCGAAAGCCCATTTATAAAGGCCCAGCCCAATTATACCATAACGAACCGTTTTAAGGCCCAAACTGGACGAAAGCCATATGTTTAAAAAGCCTGGCCCAATTATACCATAACGAACCGTTTTAAGGCCCAAACTGGACGAAAGCCCATGTGTTTAAAAAGCCTGGCCCAATTATAACTTACTGAATCATATTGAGGCCGAAACTAGTTGAAAGCCCATGTTTTAAAAAGCCCGGCCCAATTATAACTTACGAATCATATTGAGGCCCAAACTAGTCGAAAGCCCATGTTTTAAAAACCCCGGCCCAATTATACCATAACGAACCGTTTGAGGCCCAAACTGGACGAAAGCCCATGTTTTAAAAACCCCGGCCCAATTATACCATAACGAACCGTTTGAGGCCCAAACTGGACGAAAGCCCATGTTTTAAAAACCCCGGCCCAATTATACCATAACGAACAGTTTGAGGCCCAAACTGGACGAAAGCCCATGTTTTAAAAACCCCGGCCCAATTATACCATAACGAACCGTTTGAGGCCCAAACTGGACGAAAGCCCATGTTTTAAAAACCCCGGCCCAATTATACCATAACGAACCGTTTGAGGCCCAAACTGGACGAAAGCCCATGTTTTAAAAACCCCGGCCTAATTATACCTTATCGATCCATATTGAGGCCCAAACTGGACGAAAGCCCATGTTTTAAAAGCCGAGCCTAATTATACCTTAGCGAGCCATTTTGATGCCGAAACTAGACGAAAGCCCGTGTTCTAAAAGCCCAGCCCAATTATATCTTATCGATCCAGAAAGCCCATGTTTTGAAAGCGTAGCCCAATAATACCTTAAACGATTGTGGGTAAATTTTGTTACGGCTTATTCACAAAATCCATGGACCAAACCCCTATATAAATTTCAGATTAGGGTTTTTTTGTGCTCTCGAAGATAATCTCTTGCGTTGGAGGCCACTTTTCGCGCCGATCGCCAGGTCTTACTCTGAACCTTGAAGATGTCTCCTCAGTTACTTACTACTTTGTTTCCGCATGTCTTAAACTTTGGACGTTTGAAATCGGCAACAGTTATCCTTTTCATTTCCTTTTTGGTTTTGCTGAGATCTCCGATGCTTACGAATCCCGCTGTTAGATACACATTTGACTTTTATTGAGTTTTTTCTGTCTATGGTTGAGTTCTGATTACAATTTTATCGTATACAGGTGTTTTAGTTGAGATTTAAAATGGTGGAGAAGACCAAAGGCAGAAAGGAGGAGGTAGTTACCAGAGAGTACACCATTAACCTTCACAAGCGCCTTCATGGCTGGTACGTTCATTTTAGCTGCCCTTCTAAGTTCTAATAATTCATCTAGATTTTATTGGATTGGTATTAGGTTCAGTGTTTACTTCCGACTATCGATCGCAATGTGAGGTTTGAGATTTAGGTACTGGCTGAGTAAAGGATGTTTGTGTATACATAGCCAGAACACCAACCCAGAATTGTTAATGCTCTTTTGTATGAAGTTAGAAATTTGAACTTATATGTTACAACCATTATGTTATTAGTTTCTTCTTGAATTCGTTCCCATGATGTGCATTTCTCTGACTGCCTCATTGCTATATTTAGAGACAGAGAGCATGGTTGGGATTTGTTTTGATACCATCATTGTTTATTCATGTTAGAGAACTGAAATGAATTTCCATTTAATTTGTTTGTTACTTATCAGCCCTTGCTGCTTGTGAATGAACAGCACGTTTAAGAAGAAGGCTCCCAAAGCCATCAAGGAGATCAGGAGGTTTGCTGAGAAGGCTATGGGAACTAAGGATGTGAGAGTGGATGTTAAGCTGAACAAGCATATCTGGAGCAGGGGAATCAGGAGTGTGCCTAGAAGAATCAGAGTTCGCATTGCTCGCAAGAGGAATGATGATGAAGATGCCAAGGAAGAGTTGTACTCCCTCGTTACCGTTGCAGAAATCCCTGCTGACGGACTGAAGGGACTCGGGACTAAAGTCCTTGAGGAAGATGATTGAATTGTCTTTGTTTTTGTTTTCAAGACGAGATCAGGTTGTAGTTTTGATCTGTTTAATGGAAGGAGACGATCATATTTAATTGAAGTTGTTGGAGATTTTTTCCTATACCTATTAACTTACCTTACCGTTCCTATACAGTTGAATTTAAATGTTTTGGGTTACTACTACACTAAGCCTTCTAGTTATTAAAACATCAGGATTAGAACAACTATTTTTAAAGCACTACTAAATGCTTAGTATGGATATGTGAAAAGTCATTCTAAGATTTTAGTATTATGGATATGGAGTAGTCAGCCATAGGGTATCATCGGATGATGTAAGAGTACATAAATCAAATATAACCTAAAATAGAAATGGGATGGTCAAAGATCCTAAATAGATTTCAAGTAGGGTACATAAGAATTCAAAATTAAAGTAAATAAAAGTTGTAATAGTGGAAGAATGAAAACAACCCTTATAAGCCATTGATTCACTTCCTACCGCGTGTCTTAATGGCCTGCCTGTTCCTCGTCTTCACACCAGACTTGGCAACCTTAAGACTCCTATGAACTGCGCTTAGCTTTGCAAGGGCAGCGTTCTTCAAGTCTGGGCGGTAGTAATTGTCAGCCACCTGCATACCATACATTCAACAACTTCTTTCATCTTTTCTTCATAGAAGTTTAGTTGTTCATTATTATCCAGAAAAAACAGATTTAGAAAATTCTAATTTGATGCAATCAGAAGTAAACCAAGAACAGGCCTTCTTCCCGGGTAGAGTTAGAATTAAGATCCCAACCAACATCATCTACTAAATTTACATTGATGCTCAGAAGCCAAGCGTAACAAACAGATTTCAATGAAGATGCCACTACAAAAGGGACCTTCTTAGATTGATGTTAGCAGCTCATCATCGCATTAACAGTTAAGTTTAAGCCCGTCCCCCTAGTTTTTACTAAACTTTCTGGGGCAGAATGATATATGATTTTAATCTAAGTTGAGGAAAATTACATGAAGAAAAGATTTTAATCTAGGCAAATAAATGACAGAAGATGAATGAAGCAAATAAATTTCATTGAAGATGCCACTACAAAAGGGACCTTCTTAGATGTTAACAGGTTATCATCGCACCAACAGTTTTAAACGTTCTTGGTGAGTTCAACGAACTAAAATGAGAGATTCAAACTTTTGACTTTTGAAACGATAGGAAAATTGTGCTCAGAAGACAGGCATAACAAATATATTTCATCGAAGATACAGATACAAAAGTGACCCTTCTAACATGTTAGCTTCCTGTCACTGTAACAATGCAATTCAGTTCAATTACGATCTCTAAAAAACTACAAAACCGAAAATCTTTATTGGCAGCTTCTTAATAACATAATAATTCCCTGATTAACCAAGCACGACCAATGATAAATGCAGGCAGAATCAACAAACATCCAATATTGAATTACACCTGAGTGGGCATCAATTAAAAAAATGAAGTGTAGAGTTTACCTGATTAGTCACAGTCTTAAGCATGCGAGGAAATTCCTTCCTTGTAATTGATTTGTGGAGCAAACTCGCGGGTTTATTCTGCTTCTTCGTCTTTGTTGTCGCTATCAACATTGACAAATCCTTGCCCCCTGCCTGAATGGTCACTGTCTTACGGTTCGCTAAGCCTGAAAGAGTCCCCAAAAACATTCCACAACGCAAATAAAATAAGATAAATCCTCCCAACACTTTCTAAGAACTAAAACAAGATTCAATAACCATTCCGGAAGGAAATGTGCAGAACAAAAAATGGCAGCCGATTCCTCATATTTTCCTCAAGTTCAAAACGATTATACTTAACAAGTAAAAGATGTTTTTCTTACCGGAATGCTTGTAGGAGTTGAGGCTGTAGAGGTTGTTAGGCTCTTTGCTGAATTGAACACCTGCATTGCCTCTGCCAAACTCTTTAACGAGGAAAGAGCTGTTTTTCTTAACGATTTCCCACACCAACTGCCCCGGAACGTTCGCCATCTACAAAAGTAACGGAAATCAGCAACAAAAGTAAGGATGCAGTAATCCAAAAATGGGAGAAAACAGATTGAAGATGATGAAATTGAAAGAAAAAAAATATGAAAGGTGGAAGAAGAAGCGGACCTGCGCTGCAACAAGTCGAAGAGGCTACGCAGGTTGAGTCAGCCGCTTACCAGAGCTCCAACCGATTTTATATAGTGAAAATTTTAAAACCCTAAATCGAAAACTGTAAAAATAAAATATATAAATTTATAAATTAAATGTTTTAAGATTTTATGAACCCAAAATTGAAATTTTAACACCTTTTATTTTAGTTTAACAACTACGAGTAAAAATATTGGAACATTGGACTTATTACTCAGATATTCTAACAAATAAACCTAAAAGCATATTTAAAAATATATTAGGACAGCTTTGGTTTTTTTTTTTTTTTTAAGATTTTTCTTACGATTATGATGCAGTAAATTGGAACGGAATGACGTGTCATCAATTCAATCCAGGGTTAAATTTTATGATAGCAGTATTTTTTATTTTACTCACATATATATTAATTACATAGATTTTAATTTAGTTTATATCGAACAAATTGATGGGTTAGTTTAAAATTAAAATTAAAATTAAAATGTTGAAAAATCTTAATTTAATATGCTTAGCTCCAAACTTGTGCTTTCCCTAGAAAGATCATTGGGTTAATGAAGACTGACCTTTTATTTTTTAAATAATAAAAAAATAAGAATAATATTACAAATACCTTCCATCCTTATGGAGTCGGTGACTCATTTTTCTCACCCACATCTCTTTTTCTCCTCGATTGCAGTTTAAGAACATGGTGGAGAGGAAGGCCAAAATTGTGATTATTGGCGCCGGAATGGCGGGACTCACGGCGGCGAATAAGCTCTACACCGCGCCCGGTACGGAGGATTTGCGGAAGAATCGGCGGCAGAATCAACACGGTGGAGTTCATGGGCCAGAAAATAGAAAGGGAGTACCAAGTGTTCCCCGGCGATGAAATCACCATCCCCAAAGGCTATTCGACCGTAATCCAATCAATCGCCTCTGTTCTTCCCCCTGGTTTACTCCAATTGGGCAAAAATGTCACAAAAATCGAATGGTATCCCGAACCAGACGCCCGGAATGTTCCAACGCCGGTGAGAATCCATTTTTCCGATGGGTCCGACATGTCGGCCGATCACGTCATCGTCACCGTTTCACTCGGAGTCCTCAAGGCTGGAACTCAACAAGAATCCGGTATGTTTGATCCGCCGTTCCGTCGTTCAAAACAGAGGCGATTTCCCGGCTCGGATTTGGTGTCGTTAACAAGCTGTTTCTCCAGCTAGCTCCGACCACCAACGACGGCGAAGAATTGAAGAGTATCAACAAATTTCCATGCCTGAATTTCGTTTTCCACCGGCCGGATTCGGAATTTCGACGGAAAAAAATCCCATGGTGGATAAGAAAAACCAGTTTCCTCCGACCAATCTACCAAAATTCGTCAATATTATTGTCCTGGTTCGCCGGAGAAGAAGCTCTTCACCTGGAAAAACTCAACGACGAAGAAGTCATCAATGGAGTTTCAACAACCATCAGTAACTTCCAAATTCCGAATTCAGAATCAGATTGCAATGACTGCGAAGCAAATTCAAACGGGAGCGTTAAATTCAGTAAAGTATTGAAGAGCCAATGGGGCAGCGATCCTCTGTTTCAGGGTTCATACTCATACATTGCAGTGGGATCAAGCGGGGAAGATTTGGACGCCATGGCAGAGCCATTACCAAGAACGGAGGAATCTCCAAAAGCTCCATTACTTCAGATTCTGTTTGCAGGTGAAGCAACTCACAGAAGCCATTATTCCACAACACATGGAGCTTATTTCAGTGGCCTTAGAGAGGCCAATAGGCTGCTTAGCTATTACAATTGCATTTGAATTCTCTGTGTTGGATAGGAATCATCATGGATTTATATTCAGGAGCTTAGGCTGAAGGTGGACAAGTATAAATTTTAATTTTAATATTTGTCTTTTTAATTGGGAAAACACATTTTTAGACTATAAATTGTATTAAAATTCTTGCTATTTTTTTTTTAATAAATATATAATGATAATTTTTTTTTTCTTGCTTGCTTGTAAATCGAGTTGGGATGGGCCAACGGCCCATAAAGAAAGGCAGGTTCATATGGCTTTACGGCCCACAATAAAATGACCAATATATATATATATATATTAATTCAATCAGCGAGGGAAAGCGAGGAGCCATGAAGAAGAACGAGACAAAACCATAATTTTGGCGCCATAGCATTTGGGGCTGTTACTGAACCGATTTGCTTACGGAGCTCGAGCTGCCCCACACTCCGCTGATTCCTTTGCTCATCGCCAACCATTTTCCATCCTAAAAATTTCTCGACTCCAAATTTCTGTTTTCATGTAAAATAACCATAATTCAATCATTTCTCTCCTTCGTGTTTCTGATTTGCCTCAATCATGCCGGGAACCATTCGAGTTTCTGGTAACTCTTTCGCATTTCTTGTCTTTAATCGATCAGTTTCTGATTTACCGATCCTATTCTTATTCTTCTTCATGGTTGATTTTGTTTTGTTTCAGTTCTGGAGTTCATGGATCTACCTGAGCTATTGCCTTTGCCAATTTTGATTAAGAGTACGCAAATCAGCTGTTCGTTTGCTGTGTGTTTGATTTTTGGTTTTCGTTGTTTTCATTCTGGAATGGTTTCGTTTCACTGCAGTTTCCATGGGGAAAAGACAGTATGAAACTTCGGAGAAAGGAGATTTCTCATTGTAATGACCAATGCCTCTGTAATTTAAGATGTTCATCTTCTTCTTGTTCTGGTTTTTGTGTTTTTAACTGTGGATTATGGTGTTTTGGTGTATATAGTCCATTGACGACGCTTCGAGATGATGTGATTCTTATAATTCAGGATGCTGGAGGGAATGAGGTATCACGTGCAGGTTTGTTCAAGGAATTTGCTGTTGAAATTGATTAGGTTGTTTTAGCAAAATGAGGCTGATTGTGATCGGAATGTTTTTTTTTGGGGGGTGGGGGGGGAAGGTGTTCAGGCGAAATCAATAGTTGAGAAGGGTTTCTGGGATGATCTTTTTCCTCTTGAAGGAGGAGGCCGTGTGCATTTGAAGTTCCAGTTTGCTCTTAGTGAAGATGATCGCAGTCGAATTCGAACAATGGTATTCGCTTCAAACCTTATTTTCTCCTCAATAATGTCAATTTCTTTACTGAGTTGTAATTGTAAACTGCACGGCTAGAAAATATGGTCATTTTTAGGTTTTCCATTCGGGCTTCCCCTCAAGGTTTTAAAATGCGTATGCTAAGGAAAGGTTTCTACATCTTAAAAAAAAAAATGTTTCGTTTTCCTCCCCCAACCGACGCAGAATCTCACAATCCACCCCCTTCGGAGCTCAATATTCTTACTGGCACACCGCCTCATATCCACCCCCTTTCGGAGCTTAATCTCTTCGCTGCCACATCTACTGGTGTCTGGCTTTGATACCATTTGTAATAGTCCAAGACCACTGTATATTGTTCTTTTTGGACTTTCTCTTTCGGGTTTCTCCTTAGGGTTTTTAAAACGCGTTTGTTAGGGAAAGATTTCCACACTCTTATAAAGAATGTTTCTTTCTGGTTTCTCCTTAAGGTTTCTAAAACACATTTGGTAGGGAAAGATTTCCACACTCTTATAAAAAATGTTTCGTTCTCCTCTCAAATCGATGTGAGATCTCACGCTTCCCTTTGAGTCGTGTTATTATAATCACTGAGCTTGCTTCACTCTCTTGCATGCTTCATTTGACATGATAACATGAATCACTTTAGTTGTTTATTGATATCATCTCGACCTTTTTCACATAGAGAGAAACCGCTATGAGAAGAAAACAAGTTGAGCGTCAAGATAGAAATCTCAATAGCTCTGGAAGCAGCCTTGCTTCATCTTTTTACCTCAACCCCGAGCTCTCAGGTCAGATCCTGCTCTGGCAAAAACAAATAAGGCCAGAATCTGAATACTTTATGGTTATTAAGTAGTATGATTTTCTAGTTGTAAAGTTTTCTTTACATTGGTGTTTTTTGAAAGGTTTTTTCTTGATTTTCTGAGTGCTCCGTCTTCTCAAGATTCCCAAAAATGTCTTCTCCAAGTTGGAGATCTAAGTGCTAAAGAAGCGGCTCATCAATCTTCATCAGCATCAACTGAAGATATCCCTGATGAGAAGCTGGTTACTGAAAAAACAAACGACACTCGGCTCGATCAGGTTGAACGACTTTCAGTTGAGGTCTAATGAATCTGTAGAGCAATTTCTTGCTAAGTTCTAAAACTTGTTTTAAGATTTTGATGGGTGTTTTTATTTGTTTTAGAATGATGCAGACAGAAATGAGGAAAACCCATCAGCAATTCCCCATGTAAACCACCAACCTTCACCTACCATTCGTTCAGAAAAAAAAGTTTTCCATTCTCAAGGCTCAGAGTTATCCAGATCTCCAGCAAAAGATGAAAAGAAGACCGGTTCTACAGATAGGAAAACTCCCAGCATGGTGAAAAATGTAATAAGTGCCTTTGAAAGTAACTTGACTCAGGTATATTCTGGGTGATTCCTTTCATAGGCTGTTTGCTTGAGTATGCTATTGTTTGAATTACATGTTGGTTTTTACATCAGGATACAACACCACGCATTAAACCTACCTTAAGAAGAACTAAATTATCCGAGGACGCTCGGCAATTGCTAAAGTTGAAAGGGAAGAAGAATCAAGTTGGAGGAGAAAATTTGAGGGAAAAGGATCAAATAAATAAGAAGCATGATGATATAGATGCAAAAAATGATGGATCTTATCAAAAGTCAATGCCTGAGAAGCCAGACCATGTCAAAGATGAACAGTTTTCTTCCAAAAGGTCTGGTGGTTGGATATTTCCAGATGAAAAAGGACGGGTGTGTGTCACAACAGGTGGTAATCAGATGCTAGAAGATACGGTGGGAGGTCGCACTAGCTATACATTTAGCCGTAAAGTGGAAATGAAGATTTCCACGGAAGAGGCAAGTCTGGTTTAAACAGCTTTGTTCTCAATTTAGTTTCTTAAAACTGCGCATAGGTGAAGAAAAGTTAGATTCATCTACTCGAGGGAGATCTCATGTTGGTTGGAGAGGGGAACGAAGCATTCCATAAGGATGTGGAAACCTTTCCCTAGGAGATGCGTTTTAAAACCATGAGACGTAACGGGCCAAAGCAAACAATATCTGCTAGTGGTGGACTTGGGCTGTTACCACCTTGAGCTTCTTGGCAATCGATTCATAAAATCGAGCACCTTAAATTTCTTGACCATCTTGTGATTAACTCATACTCATCATTTTAAATTCTTCTTGACAAACTTGAATACCGGGAACTTGCCATAGAACCACAGCCATACTCTTAAATTTCTTGACCACACTGTTATATCTTGCTTTTGACACCTTGCCTACACTTGCATTTGCAGAGTAGAAGGACCTCAGAAACGAGGGCAAATAGGGGGAAGCATGATCATCAAGAAATGATCAAACCAGAGAGTTCAGACGATGTAAAACCTTCTGAAGGACCACTTGCCAATGTAATTCCAATTCTATCTAAACTGAGATTAATGGCTGATGCAAATAGGGGGATACATGTTTTGACCTTTTATTTTAAAATTAAAAGTGACTAATTATTGATGTTCTGTGCTCCGAAATTCTCTTTATTTAGGCCTTCAAAATTGCAGTAATGATTGGGTTTGGAACTCTTGTTCTTCTTACCAGACAAAGGAAAAAGAAGGTATGAGATAACTTCTGTAAATCTGTTTTTTTTTTTTTCTGTCCTATGAACATTTGTTCAAGGATGGAGTTATGCTTACATAGCGTCATAATTTTGCACGAGCCTTGCTTCTGTTAACCAAGTCTGATACACATGGCTTTATTCATGGACGTGCAGAGATAAGCAGTTGGGTTATGGATCCGCTCCAATTGTTTTCAAGGGATGTAAGCTTTTACTTCCATAAACAGCAACCCAGTTTTTCTTCCCCCATTCTTTTTTTATCTTCACCACATGCATATTAACTAATGTTAGTCTTTCTTCATCCCATTGTATAAATTTTGTTCTTATTTGAAATCAACCTTATATTCTGATGTTATTTAGCTTCATTGAGGTATCAAGACAATGTCTCCGCCCCCTTATGTCAAGATGATTATCGTAATATAAACCTCTGTGGTTCGATGTCGTAGGTTTCAGGTGTCACATGTTCCTAATAATTCAATGTTAATGTTTAAGGCATGTAATAATTTAATTCATTTAATGCATATTAGAGTGCAATAACGAGGACTTTTTCGAAATATAAAGAATAAAAATAGATGACGCTTTAATTCCAAAAATTCATTAGTATTTCAAAGGCTATCTTGAATGTAATAAATCTTTAAACCACTAATGAACAAATTTACCCTTCGACTAAGCTTCTTAATTCTGCTCTGCACACCATTTTTGTAGTACAAGATGGTGTAGTTTTGATTCAAGTCAGTCGTTTAAATATGTTCAATGTCAAATAAGTGTTTAAGCAGAAGAGATCCAGAACAATGAAACACTTCAAAGCTGCCAATTAAATAGACTAATGACTACAAAACAACCTTGTTAAGTTATTGGTTCATGAACCGACTGGTTTTCCATTTAGTCGAGGAAAAGGATCTTGTTTGCTTACCACTGCAACTTTACTCTTGTGGGCGAAGTACCCCTTCACAAGACCCTTATTTATGAGTATGGCCATGATGCACTCTACCTGCAAGTTTAAGGCATGTATGAGACAACACGGGTCAATTGTCGACTATTATAACATTGAGAGATGGATAAACAAAATACCTCATCGACATCCATGTCTACTTCCAACCACTGTAAAGCTTTTACAATTACTTCTAATTTGATCTGGTGAGCTTTGTTTGGATCCTTTTGCCTTTGTATAAAGTAGCTGGAGAGAGTGTAATGAATCAGAAATACTGAACAAATAGTGAGGAGCCTCTTTGAGTCCGTAGATTGGTTTGAGCTATCCATAAACTAAAAGGATACAAAATAAAGAACGGTGAGCTTACATTTTCTTCACCAATCTTTGGTAAACTTGAAGTTCCAACTTCTCTAAGACGAGATACACCCCTGATCTTAAGAACCTGATAAAACAAAGGAAACAACTTCGAGTATACATCCTTGGCCGAAATATTCTCACAGATGAAAAATTGAAAAAACAGGTTTACCGATCTTCGTGCTCTTGAAGAGCTTGTCGAAGAAGCCTCGGATCACCTCTTGTAAGAGATTGCACAACATTTCCATACTGCGAGAAGAACGTTACTAGTAAGCTTTATGATGCATAAATATCATTATGTTCTAGAAAGCTTCACAAGTAGCTTAAATAATTTAGGCTGAGAACATTTGTAATTTGTAAAAATTTGCCATACCTCAAAAAGGTTATACTTCTCGAGAAGCACCCTCGTAGGCAAGATGCCCATAGAAAGCTTTACAGGTATGAGATATTTTAATATCATTCTGTTCCAAAATTATTGCGACTTAGCATGGGTAAAACTTCCTTAAATTTCACAAGCTACAGAGAACTATTCAAGAAGTAACTAGATAATTGATTACCAAATGAATCAAAACAACTATTAAATGATATGTTAATAAGCCAAAGAATATTTCAACGGGCATAAACAATTAGTCAAGGATATGAAGTTATAATAACTATTACCATGAAAAACGAAAAGAAAAGAGAGAAGACAAAGAAGAGAGAGGAAGGCAAGTCACCAGCCAAGCAAAGTACAAAAGTATAATAGTTGGAAGGAAAAACAGGCTTTCGTCAAGCTCTAGAACCGTGGGGCCGAAGTATCTTCCTTCTCTATCACAGTAATGAATGTATTTTTGTCTTTGACCAAGCTCCAGAAATTTTCAGCAAACTAATAGTTGATGAAGATGTGCCTTTATGATTCCGTTCTTCTTTGAATGACAGATACCGTCCATGGATCAGAGCCATAGAGGGATGTTTAAGCTTAAATGACAGTTCCCAAAGGAAAAAAAAAACTTGAATTTCTATGGGTTCATGGGTTCAAGTAGCAAGGCATCATCATGGGAAGCGGTGATGATGACATCATTAGAAAGAGGTCGAACTGAGAAGGAACCAGAAATCGAACTGAGAAGGAACCAGAAATGCCCCCATATCTCTATATACTGAAAAAATCTTACAAAGTCCAAGTCCCAACATCCCCAAGAATCATTTACAGATAGAAAGATCCAAGCCCTAGGCAGGTAGTTCCATGTTTTGCTGCAATGTTCTTCCTGCAAGCTTATACCTGATACTAGAGGTTAAGAGCTCCCTATACAATGCTTCACAGTTGAGGCCTGAATCTAAGGTGTGCAGCAATTTTATGTCCAGGATGGATGCTTTCTCATGGGCATGCATAATGTTGAAAAGATTAATAATCATGTCATTTCCTATGAAAAGATGATGACCGGACAGGAGGCCTCTCCCAAATTAAAACCACTGATTAAATTCTATGACAAGCCATAGGATTGTAGGTCATCTTGTCATGAGCGTCTTATATTGTGAGATCCCAGAAAGTTTTAAAAACCCCTCCTTAGAAGACGCGCTTTAAAAACCTTGAGGGGAAGTCCAGAAGAGAAAGCCCAAAGAGGACAATATCTACTAGCGGTGGGCTTGAGCAACATATATTCTTACAAGAAGATGCACGAGCTGTTAATTTTCGAAAATATTAAATGTACCCTCTCATCAGCATATAGATGTAAGATTTATCTATTTGAAGCATTCAGCCATAAATACAAAGGTATACTAAATAAGCCACTCAATAATCTATTCATAATTGTCTAAGCAAAAGCAAATCATATGCAGCAAGCACACCTGAGTCAAACCTTATATTAGCTTCTCTTTGAGGGTTGCAATGCATCAAGGCGTATGATAACTTCTGGTCAGCCTGCCATATCACAGAAGTGATTCAGTAAAAAAGTGGTTGAGAAGAAAGGGAAAAAGGGCTTCACGTATTATTTATTCACAACATGGTAAGAAAAAAATGATAAAACCATAGAACTACTAGCATTAATTGAGCAATTTAGATTCCAAAGCCCTAAATGATAAAGCCATAGAATTACTCACAGCAGGGAAATTCTCATTGAAAACTTCCAGACGGCCTGTATAATACATGTAGGTCACCTAAATAACACATTTACTTTAATCAGAACTTTTCAATATAAACCACGATGGCCGAACCATCCTGATGAAAGTACAGGATGATGACGATCCGGGGGGGATAAAGGCAACCAAAACCAATTCTGACCCTGTCTCTTTTAGGAAACTCCTCAAAGTCAAATATCCGAGCGGTTTCAATGCTCCTTATCACACTACGGCACAAGTGCACAGTACCAAGCTGCAATCAGATCAGTTACTTCATCATTATATAACTAGAGATACACAAGAGTAAGCTAAGCATCAGATATGATTTTAAAAAGTTGCTATAAATCGTAATGTTTCAACTAAACAGAGATTTTCTCCAACTACGTTTCTCTATTTTCGATCGCAACAATATCCTGGCAGCTTGAATTTCTTTGCCATTAATTCAAATACAATGGATAGAGTGCAGCAGGGAAAGTTGGGTACTTTTCGAAAACAATTGTTATAAAATCGGGTAAAAGAAATATCAAACTGAATCTGAAGATTATAGTTTTTACTTTTGGAAGCCAAACAATTTCTTACCTTGAAGTATATCTTGAACAACTGACATGTCACATACAATGCTCCAACACGTTTAGGGCCTTTTCCCTAAAATACAATCAACAAATTTTATGTAAGCAACAAAAATCCGCAAATCTAAAGTAGCTATGCGGAAGATAACGTAATAAATTGTTTGAACAAAGAAACATACGGCAAGAACCCCAAACACTTTCATAAGAAACGAGCCAGCTCCTTTCAACTTTTCTGGCGATTTTCCATTCGAAGCGAGCTCTCGGTCGGCCTGTGAATACAGAAGCTTAATTAACCAGTTAATGAACACATGAAATTCCAAATAAGACCTAAGATCATACCCTCTCTGCAATGATCCTAATCTCGTAAGCAACTACATACAATGCTTCCAACGCCCAAGCTGAATCCCAAGACCTAAATTCCTGAGTGAAAGCGCTGCAAAATTTCCACCATTACAAGCACAATTACACGACTTCAAACTAGAATAAAGCATCAAAAATCAAGTACAGCCCAAACGAAAGCTGATTCAAATAGATTGTAGGGGAAACAAATACTTGGCGGATTTTTCAAAAGCATGATAGGCATCAACCAAATTTCCAAGACGGTAACACTGCAATGCACGAAAGAAGTTCACCAATATATCTCCAAACTGAGAATATCTATCCGACTGTCTGATTAATCGATTGGCATCCTGTCAAAAACCAATCCCCAAACTTAAACTTCACCAATGATTAACAACGATGACGATCATCAGAGCTCTTGTAGACTTGAGACAGTACCTGGAAAACGTTGAGAGAGTCGGCGAGGGCGAGAAGATTGGGGGAATTGGAGGAGAGAGAAAGAAGAGATTTGAGAGAAGCTCCATCTTGAGACGCAACAGAGTCCGAAAATCGATTCAAGTACTCTGTAATTCTTCTATGTGCCTCTCCCATACTCAGGTACGCCATTGCCGCCTCCCTCTCTGCTGCAATTCTCCAAGCCTTTCTTCTACAGTCCTGCTCCTTGCCTCTCTCTGTCAATTCTACGGCGATGCCAAACGGTGTCGTTTCCTGATTTCGCATCTGTTTTGAGCATACTCTATTCTGGGCCTATTCGATTAGATCGGCCCATTCAAGTTAATTCGGGAGGTCGGTTTTCCTTGGGCCAAGCCCATGAGAGATTAGTATAAATAAAATGATTTATGCCGCTAAGTATTATAATTAAATTTAAATTTTTTAAAAAATACAACTGCGAACCATACACTCTGCTGCTGACAACAATATTTCATCCGAAGTCCCGCTTGTTAGATAAAACCTGAGTTTTACCGTTTTTGTTATTCACACGATTTCAGAAAATCGTGAGGTTGACCATTTGACAAATCACGTCGAATGGATCACCAGAGTTTTAGAAGGGAGTGGCACAGATTTAGTTGGCCACTCTCCAAGCCAATTTTAGAATTCCTTTTTTACTTTAAATAGGAGAATTGTTCAGAAAACAAAACAACCTCAACGCAGTCAAATTCAGAGTTATTTTTTCTCTCTCCTTTTTGTTACGCATTTTCTGAATTTCCTCTCACCGAAATTCTGTGAAAACCAACAAGTGGTATCAGAGCCAAGTTGAAGATCGGTGTATATCATTGCAGAGGAGCCAACCTATCAACAAACAAGTTGAATAGCTCAAGTGGTTAGAGCGTTGACCTAACATCACAAAGGTCTCAGGTTCGAGTAGAAGAAAATGCAAAGTGTAAAAACACACACATCGTGGGGCCCATCTCGGGCAGGCTCACTCACTCCTCCACGCCGTCGTCGTGTGCCGACATCTCCATCACCGCCGCCACGAAGAGGGCGTCAAGTTATCGTTGAGCGGGTGATTAGGGAGACAACGACTGCCGTCGTTCAGTATCCAATATTGACAAAGTCCAATTATAACGAATGGATCTTGTTGATGCGCGTCAACCTACAAGCGCAAGGGTTATGGCATGCTGTTGAGCCAGAGGAAGGAGAAACGATTGAGTACCGTGAGGATCGGTTGGCGTTTGCCGCCATATTACGATCTGTGCCCCCAGAGATGCTGGCATCTCTCTCCACCAAGCGCACCGCGCAATCGGCCTGGGAGGGAATCAAATCCCGTCGGGTCGGTGTACAGCGAGTGCGGGAATCCAACATCGAGCAGTTGCGGAAGGAGCTCTCGGAGATCCACTTTAAGGACGGTGAATCCGTCGATGATTTTTCAATGCGGATCACGGGGCTAGCCAACAACATCACCACACTCGGTGGCAGCATCAGCGAGACAGAAATCGTGAAGAAGATGCTGCAGGTTGTCCCTGATCACCTCGAGCAAGTTGCGATTTCAATCGAGACATTGCTTGACGTGAACGACCTAACGGTAGAAGAGGTGACCGGAAGACTGCGTAACGTCGAGCAGCGGAAGAAAAATACCATTTCAGCTGTCGACAAGGGGGGTCGTCTACTCCTCACAGAGGAGGAATGGCTTGCACGTCTAAAGCTCCGTGACAACACCGGCCAGAGCAACGGGTCCTCCTCCAGCCGCAAAGACGGTAAGAAGCCATGGATCTCCCACGGGCGCATGCGCAGGAAAGATGGGAATCAAAAGAAGGAGTCGACCAATGGCAGGCCAATCTGCTCGAACTGTGGGAAGAGAGGACACCTAAGCAGGAATTGCTGGAGCAAGCTTAGGAACAAGGAGAAGGCCGAAAAGGCCCATGTGGCTCAATCCGAGGAGGACGAGCCAGCTCTCTTCATGGTAAGTGCATGTGTCCCCGCTATCGATTCCAAATCCACGGAAATGGAGGTAATCAACAACGATGTTGAACTCGAGAAAGAGCTCCAGCTGGGTGTAGCAAAGGTGGCACCAGCTAGGGAGCCAATTCAACTGGAGGAGGAGCGAGTGTTCGCTCAGATCAGCGAGCGGGACGAGCAACACAAGGACCGGCGATGGATCCTAGACACAGGGGCAACAAACCATATGACCGGGGCTAGATCTGCATTCTCCGAACTCGACTCGGGGATCCGCGGGACGGTGAAATTCGGCGACGGATCCATCGTAGAGATCGAAGGACGCGGCACCATCCTATTCGCCAGCAAGGGAGGCGAGCATCGCAAGCTGACCGACGTCTACTTCATCCCGAGGCTCAAGGCTAACCTTGTGAGCCTGGGTCAACTCGATGAGACAGGCTGTTTCATCTCCATCGAGCGCGGACTACTCAAAATTTGCGATAATCAACGACGGCTGCTCACACAGGCAAGGCGCACGACAAACCGTCTTTACATCCTGGAGTTAGAGATAGAGCAACCTGTCAGTCTCTCGGCCAAGATCGAAGAGGTATCTTGGAGGTGGCACGCAAGGTACGGGCATTTAAACTTTCCTGCTCTAGAAAAACTACAGAAGGAGGAGTTAGTGCACGGTTTGCCAGCAATCAAAGGTGTGAACAAGCTGTGCGACGGGTGCCTCATCGGCAAACAGAGGCGCACACCCTTTCCGTCTCGAACATCCTATCGAGCCGATGAGCCGTTGGAGCTTGTACACGGCGATATCTGCGGGCCCATCAAGCCGGCGACTCCAGGCGGTAAGAGTTTCTTCCTCCTATTAGTCGATGACAAAAGCCGCTTCATGTGGCTGACCCTGCTGCAAGCGAAAAGTGAGGCGGCAGAGGCGGTTAAGTGCATTAAAGCGCGAGCGGAGGCCGAATGTGAGAAGAAGATGCGAGTGCTGCGCACAGACCGAGGCGGAGAATTCACCTCGACAAGTTTCGGTAAGTATTGTGACGAAATCGGCATACAACGGCACCTAACGGCGCCCTACTCCCCCCAACAGAACGGAGTGGTGGAGCGCCGGAATCAGACCATCGTCGGGACAGCAAGGTCATTGTTGGTGACGGCCGGGATGCCTGGGAGATTCTGGGGAGAGGCAGTAATGACGGCCGTATATCTCCTCAATCGGTCACCAACCCGAAGCCTTGACGGGAAGACACCATATGAGGCCTGGTACAACAAAAAACCAGCGGTACATCATTTTCGCGTGTTCGGCTGCGTTGCTTACATGAAGGTAACACGTCCCCACCTCGCCAAGCTCGATCCTAGGGGGCTGAAGGTCGTTTTTATCGGCTATGAACCCGGGAGCAAGGCGTACAGACTATATGATCCTGTAGGGGGGCGAGCTCACGTGTCTCGCGACGTCGTCTTCGATGAAAGCACCTTCTGGCAGTGGAATGACGTGATCGAGGCAGACCATAATCCAAATCAATTCACGGTGGAGTACCTCGTCACTGAGCCGGAAGAAGGAGGAGCCCAGCATCAGCAGCCGTCACCGCCGCCAGCAGGTGCAACCCCTGAACCAGTGGAATTCGCAACACCACGGACTGCGGATTCGACGCTGGATGCTGATCACGATACTGATCTGGAGGCCAGGTACCGGAGGATGGACGACCTAGTAGGAGGAGGTGAACCACCTGGACTGGCAGTGCGCGAGCTCGAAGAAGTGGCCGAACTACATGCCATCAGTGCAGATGAACCGAACACCTTCGCCGAAGCAGAAAAGAACCCGTGCTGGCTGAAGGCAATGCAGGAGGAGATGACATCCATCACCGAAAATCAGACGTGGAGTCTGGAGGATATGCCGCCGGGACACCAAGCCATAGGGCTCAAATGGGTCTTCAAACTGAAGCGCAACGAAAAAGGAGAGGTTGTGAAACACAAGGCCCGTCTGGTAGCGAAGGGCTACGTCCAGAAGCAAGGAGTGGACTTCGAAGAGGTATTTGCGCCAGTGGCAAGGTTAGAATCCGTTCGTTTCTTACTTGCAATTGCAGCACATTACTCTTGGGAGGTTCACCATATGGACGTAAAGTCTGCTTTCCTTAACGGAGAGCTGAAGGAGACTGTTTATGTCCGACAGCCACCTGGCTTCCTGGATAACAACAACCCCAATAAAGTATTGCGCCTGCACAAGGCACTCTACGGGCTTCGACAAACTCCACGAGCCTGGAACGCGAAGCTCGACAGTACCTTACTGTCACTGAAATTCAAACGTTGCGCCTCTGAGCATGGCATGTACACGCACGGCCATGACAAGAAGCGACTAATCGTGGGAGTGTACGTCGACGACCTCATAATCACTGGAGGTGACATGGAAGTCCTCGGAAGGTTCAAGAAGGAGATGTCGAAAAACTTCGAGATGAGCGATCTCGGCGTGCTCAGCTACTATCTCGGCATCGAAGTGCAACAGAATTCTACCGGCATCTCCATCTGCCAAAGTGCATACGCAAAGAAGCTGCTGGACACAACTGGACTTGTGGACAGTAATCCTACAAGGACGCCAATGGAGGCCCGACTCCAACTAAGGAAGGCTGGCACTACGACGACAGTCGACTCCACCAATTACCGCAGCATTGTCGGGAGTCTACGCTATCTGGTAAACTCTCGTCCTGATCTTGCTTATTCTGTTGGATATGTGAGCCGGTTTATGGAAGCACCTAGGGAGGAGCATTTAGCGGCTGTCAAGCGCATCCTGCGCTATGTAGCCGGAACCAGAGGCTGGGGTGTAAGATACTGCGCAGGGAGCGGAAAGGAGAAACTCAAGCTAGTTGGCTACAGTGATAGTGACATGGCCGGTGACGTTGATGATCGTAAGAGCACTAGCGGAATGATCTACTTTCTCTCAGGCGGCGCAATCTGCTGGCAATCAACAAAACAGAAGGTAGTTGCTTTGTCTTCCTGTGAAGCAGAATACATCGCCGCTTCGATGGCAGCAACACAAGGGATCTGGCTTGCGCGACTAATGGAAGAACTCATCGGGAGAGAAAGTGATCCACCAATGCTATACGTAGACAACAAAGCTACGATCTCCCTGATCAAAAATCCAGTTTTGCATGAACGAAGCAAGCACATAGAAATCAGGTTCCACTACATTCGAGAACGTGCAGATCGAGGGCTCATCAAAATTGATTACATCCGAACAGAGGAACAACTTGGAGACATCTTCACCAAGTCCCTGGCGCGGGTGAAATTTGAAGAACTACGCTCAAAGATCGGAGTTCAAATAGTAAGGTAGATATACTACAGGTTTTAGGAGGAGATTGTTAGATAAAACCTGAGTTTTACCGTTTTTGTTATTCACACGATTTCAGAAAATCGTGAGGTTGACCATTTGACAAATCACGTCGAATGGATCACCAGAGTTTTAGAAGGGAGTGGCACAGATTTAGTTGGCCACTCTCCAAGCCAATTTTAGAATTCCTTTTTTACTTTAAATAGGAGAATTGTTCAGAAAACAAAACAACCTCAACGCAGTCAAATTCAGAGTTATTTTTTCTCTCTCCTTTTTGTTACGCATTTTCTGAATTTCCTCTCACCGAAATTCTGTGAAAACCAACACCGCTGCCTAGACCGGAAGAAGGACGAGAGTATACGAACTGGTTTTTCCGATATGGGTCACGATTCCAATCCGCCGCCGCCGCCGTCTCCGTCGCGGGAAAAGCCAAGTCCGACGGCAGATCAGGAAGAAGACTCGTCTAGCCCTTCCACCGCTTTGCTCTCTTCAAACCCATCTCACAAAAGAAGCATTGTCTTCATTTCTCTTACTTTCAGTACTCGTTTCGCTCTCTCCGCCGCCATAGCCTTCGCCTTCCTCTTCTTCTCCGCCGCCTCCACTGCCGACGGTGTCAGCTCCACCGCCCGTACTCTCTCTAAGCTGAAACGTCCAGTGGTTCTATTGATCTCCTCCGATGGGTTTCGATTTGGGTATCAATTCAAAACCTCAACCCCAAACATTGACCGTCTGATTGCAAATGGGACCGAGGCCGAGAGGGGTTTGATTCCTGTTTTTCCAACTCTAACTTTTCCCAATCATTACTCGATCGTCACTGGCCTTTATCCCGCCCATCACGGCATTATCAACAACTTTTTTCTCGATCCAGTGACCGGAGACGCCTTCACGATGGCTAATCACGACCCTAAGTGGTGGCTCGGCGAGCCGCTGTGGGAGACGGTGGTCAATCAAGGGCTCAGTGCAGCAACAGCCTTCTGGGTCGGTGCTGAGGTAAACAAAGGCTCATGGTCTTGCCCTGCAAATTTCTGTCATCATTATAATGGTTCAGTTCCATTTGAGGAACGAGTAGATATGATTTTGCAGTATTTTGATTTGCCTAGTGAGGAAATTCCTGTGTTCATGACTCTGTATTTTGAGGACCCAGACCATCAGGGTCACAAGGTTGGTCCTGATGATCCACAAATCACTGATGCTGTAGCTAGAATTGATCTAATGCTTGGTAAACTAATTTCTGGCCTGGAGAAAAGAGGAGTATTCGAGGATGTTAATGTAATCTTGGTTGGTGATCATGGAATGGTCGGAACTTGTGATAAGAAGTTGATTTTTCTTGAGGATTTAGCTCCATGGATTGTGATTCCAGAGAGGTGGGTTCAATCAAGAACTCCTCTGCTAGCAATTCGTCCACCGTCTGATGTTTCACCTGCTGATGTTGTCTTGAAAATGAATGAAGCTTTGCAATCTGGGAAAGTTGAGAATGGGAAGTATCTGAAAATGTATGTCAAGGAAGAGCTTCCGTCTCGGCTTCACTACAGTGGGAGCGATCGGATTCCTCCGGTGATCGGGTTGGTTGAAGAGGGATTTAAGGTGGAGATGAAGAACAGTAAAGGGAGGGAGTGTGGAGGAGATCATGGGTATGACAATGCCATATTTTCCATGAGAACCATTTTCATTGGCCATGGTCCACGGTTTGCAAGAGGGAGAAAAGTCGCTTCTTTTGAAAATGTTCAGATATATAACTTGGTTACTTCAATTCTCAACATCAAACCTGCCCCTAACAATGGTTCTGCATCATTTCCCCAATCTGTTCTCTTGCCTTCGCCATAGAATCCTTGGCACATTGCCCGAACAGATTGCCACGACAATTGTTTTAACTCGAACATCGTTGTTGCAAAGTGTTGAGGATTGTTGGGAAGAAATTCCATATGGGCTACTTTAGGGAATGATTAGGGTTTATAAGTAAGGAATACATCTTCATTGGTACGAGACTTTATAGGAAAACTCAAAACAAAGTCACGAGAGTTTATGCTCAAAGTGGACAATATCATACAATCCTGGAGATCCGTGATTCCTACCACAAAGAACAATGTTTATTTTCTTCTGCGTTTCTGTTTGGTAATTAGGTTGGTAATTAGGTGATGATCATCATGTTCTAATAGCTTGTCTCCCTTGACATGTTTACCTCAAATGCCTCATTCACTAAAATAAGCAAAGGAAAGTAATAAACATTTGGAATATACAAAGATGAAGACATTTGATTCATACGAACAAACAAGATTAGATTAGATCCATCCCTGTTTGTATCGGCGAAAGAGGTCCTCGGTCTGAGCGTTCTTGAAGGCGCTGCAGCCGATTACATAGACCCAAATCAGGACAACCACAGTGACAATGAGAACCACATTGGCTTTCCTCCATTCCATTCTGAGATTCCCCAAGAGACCAGCCTTGCAAGAGTTGCAATTGTAGCACAACTGGGTCTGGTCATTGCTCCAAACATAGCAGTCAGGGTCAGCCATTGGATTACCAGGGTTCAGCCACAGTGTTGGGTTCACAAAGTTATAACCACAAGCCGTTGGAGGTTTACAGCATCCTGACTGTTCACACAGTAAAAACCAAGACGTAAGCTTTTAAGTTCCTTCCCAAGACTCTTGAATGCTCATAATGGACTGATTAGCTGGCAGCCATATCAACCAATTTAGAGCTATATGAACAGATTTGGAATCAAAATGGACCCCCAATAAGATCTTAGCTGTCTACTTTATTGTTGGGGTATGAAATCTGAGTGTTCTAAATGAAAAGGGTGATTGTTTGGGATTTTATTAGCCACCCTAAAATTACCCGATTATGAATCGGAACTCTTAACTCTGGGATGGCATTGTCTATTTTGTCCATTTTGAGCTTCCATGACTTTGCTTTGAACTTTCTCACTAATGGAGAGAGTATTCTTTATTTATAAAGATATGATCCTTCTCTAAATTAGCCAAGAGGTGGAACTTTTATCATCCAAAAATGCGGACCCAATGTGCATTCCTCTGCAATATAATCAATATAATGTGCATTCTCTAACATTCCTCTGCAATATAATCACATTACTATCTTTTTCCTGGAGTCACTCAATATAGAATTGTTCCAGAAAAACAAACTTAATTTTAAAATTTATATGGTTGAGCTGCAGAAAGAAAAAAGTGTTCCTTATTGGTATATATAGTAACTTGAATTCTTCCGTTATTAAGATCACTCAAATACCGAACCGAATTGAAGGTAAAAGAGAAAGAATATATTTATCCAGGATAAAAAAAACACCCCTGAAATTTTCTAAAGGCTATGGAATATATTTTTATTTGCAAAAAAGCACTTTATATCAATATTCCTCAACGTTGATAAAAAATGAAACTGGCACCCTTTATTTACACTTTACATTACAAAATCAATATATATATATATATATGTTAGGTAATCTTTCAAATCAAATGTTAAAATATAGTGAATGGTATGGTAAAATTTCCAAATCAAACTATAGTTTAAAGAAAAAATAGTCATTAAATACATGAGAGACTTGTAGACTCCAAAAGTCGTTGGGACTTGGGACACCCAACATCAACAAGCCACATGCTACTACTGATGGAAGAGATAGAGATGGGATTACCTCTTATTTTCTTTTAAGAAAAAAATAAAAATTCCAAACAACATTGCAATACGGACCACCAAGGGTTTCTTCTAGGATCTGATGTGAAATGAGAACCACCATATTTAAAATAAAATAAAATAAAATAAAAAAAGATTTTATTTTAAACAATTTTAATATCCTTTTTTTTTAATTTTATTTTAAACAACCGACTCACCGAGCAGGATTGCGGTCTGAAAAGCCAATCAAAATCAAAATCAAAATCAAAGCAGAGCCCTATGGAGCATATTCCAAGAAATTAAATATTAAAAAAAATATCAATTCCAGCCTGGAATTAAGGAACTGACCTGAAGCGGCGAGATGTCCGCCGCGAAAAACTGATCGGCGGCGACGTACAGCTGGTTAAGCTTAGGACAAGTATTAGATTCAGCCAAGCACGTCCTAATCTTTGGCCAATTTCGAGAATTAGTGAGATGATTCCTGAGCCAGGACGAGAATCCGTCGAGCCTGTATTCTTTGAATCCGCGGCCCATGACGGAGTAGGTGCCGTTCGGGCGAGTGACGACGAAGGTGAAGACGAGAAGGACGAGCAAGAGGCCGATTAGAAGAGCCATACAGAAGAGGTAAAAGGCCAATAGCCCTTGTCTGTTCCAGTAGGCACCAATGAATCCGGCTAAGGAGACGAGGAGGATTAAAACGCCGAGGAGAACCACCGGCCACCGGAAAAAATGGATGCATCCGTTGTCAGGCTTGGAAGCCAGCCAAATTCCGGCGCCGATTATAGGAATGGAGCAGAGGAGAGCCAAGAAGTTCACAATTGCTGTGATCTTGTTGCTTACACCCATGGGATTTTTCGCTCAATTTCAATGGCCAATGGGGAAGGAAGAATGAGCGAAGGGTCGTGCCGTCGAGAGTTGGAAAGGAAAAGAACTGAGAGAGAACCGACACGTCGTTTCGAGATGTTGTGGGTTTATCAAGTTTCATTCCGTGTGGCAAGTCTCACATTGCCCAAAGTAGTAGAGCGTGCTCCCACGTGGCACATTAATTTCTTTTATTTTTAGTGTCCTGAAAAGGATAGATAATAAAAATAAGTAAAATTAAAGTTTAGTATATAAAATTTCAAGTTTGCATTCATTTGATTCATACAATCTCTAAAATGCGTGGAAGTCTCGGATCTTGTAAAAGAAGCTCTGAAAAGACCAGTCTTCTTTCCGTACCTTGAGTTGTTAGTTGAAGCTAATAAGTTTATTCCTTCAGCGTTGGAACGAAAATGGAAGCCATGTGCTCAGATTCTGACCCACCCAGATCCCAATTTGGCCATTTCCATTTCTTTTTTTTTTTTTTTTTGGGTATTATTTTCTGATTTAAGGGCTTACAGTTTGAAATCCCAACTTTTCTGAAATAATCTCAGTTGCTTTGGCTCTCTAGTAGGCTCTTGATTTGGGAATTCAAGACTGCATACAAGGTGTTCGATGCAATGCCGGAGTGGGAGTGCTGCAAAAATGGGTAGAATTGAGGAGGAAAAGAAAGAGTACACTATAGAGCCTTTGGACAAGCTCCCTTAGTTAAGGCTCGACCCTTTGTCTAGAATTCTCGAACAAAATAGACCTGTAACCGTTGGTGATTCAATATTTAAGGATTCTATTGACATGACTATACTATAAGTATAGTATGGTATTGTCACTCTAAGTATAAGTGTTTTTGGGTATGAGTATAGTATGGTATTGTCACTCTAAGTATAAGTGTTTTAGTGTTTTTGGGTATGAGTATAGTATGGTATTGTCACTCTAAGTATAAGTGTTTTTGGGCTTTGCAAGAGGACTTCTATTGATGACTAAATTAGCCAATCATCTAATCAGACAAACCGAGTTTATACAAACAAATCTTCAAATGCAAAAGGCTTCCCCTCATGTACCCGTCGTCGACTCCATAGCTCTGCAGGACCTGCAAGTCTCGTTAACAACTTCGAGCAATCAATCATTCTTTGGCTAGAGCTTTCTTAAGTAAGAGTAACCCTTAATCATAAATGCTTAATAACATACATATACCGAAAGGAAAAGAAGAATCACGAACCTTACAAATTCTGAAACCAAACCGATCCCTAGCGTGGCCTAGAGCTATAAATAGGACACAAAACGTGGAAGCACTCTCGATGTGGGATAAAAAGACGTCCCCCATCAATGTTCAACAGTTCTTGCAATAACATGAAATGTTGAAGCATCTTATGCTGTTCGGCTTAGAATGTCCGTATTGGAGACATGGCCTCCTTATATATGGGTTTCTTAAGAGAATTGTCTATTGACGTTTTTGCCCTTCATTTTTATTTTGCATGTATTTTCTTTCATCCTTTTTTATTTACTAATAAAAAATATATATATATTATTTTATAAACAAACCTACAATGCTAACCGTATTTATATCTTTCATTTACACGTAGAATAACATAATCATCCAATATTGTTTTTCGGTCTTCCTCGGGGACTCTTTTTGTTCTCTCTGGCGCAACGTTGAGTTCATTGAATATGTCAGTTTCTCCCGCTCCCGCTCCCGCTCTTTCTCTCTATACCATCTGTGCGCGGTTGATTCGGTTGTTAATTTATTTTCGTCGTTCCCTCCGGTTTTGTCTCGGCTTATCTTTTCGGATTTTCTCTCTCATTCCGTCTATTGTTGATGTTTTCGCTTGTAGGATGGCGATCACCGATGCACTCGAGAGTACAACCGCCTTGGATAGCTCGTTAACAGTCTTGGATGCCAGCCGCTTCCTTCGTAGGAGACCGAGTGCTACAACCGGTGGAGACGAGTACGATAAAAATTTAAGGACGAACATTCGTGGAAGTGATAGTTCGCCTCCGGATCATGCAAGTTTTAATGGTTTATTGGCTGCAAAGAGCTCTGAGGAGGTTAAGGATCGAAATGACGCTATTGAAAATCCGAATCTAATGGAACCGGAGAAGGATCGGGTGACAAGGCCGAGAGTCGAGGTAACGCTAATTTTGATGTTTACGCTGTGAAATTTACGTATCGGCGACGAGCCTCTGAGCTCTGTTGCGATATTCAGAGAAGTATGTTGAAATTCTTGGTTTATTTTAGCTGTCATATTATTGAACTCGCCATTACATTCGTATATACATCCGTTCTTCCTAGTAGATATCATAAGTAGTCACAAACTGGATAGCTGGAAATATTAAACGACTATCTGAGGTCGATTTTCTGTTTCTTAAATGAAATTATGCTTTGGCCGACTGCTTATCGAAGGAATTTTTCTGTGATGGAATATTTGTTCAAACTATCTTGAAATGTCATCAAGTATACTATACACTCGTAAAACTATGGCTAACACGCCTTGTTATTTCTGGCTTAAGTTTTAGATCAGATCTGATGGTTAATGCATATATAATGCTCTCCATTTTATTCACTTTAAATGACAGAGCCACGCAGATCTGTTTAACCTCTGTATAGTAGTGCTTGTTGCTGTAAGCAGCAGACTAAACATTGAGAATCTTATGAAGGTGTGCCTCCTCTAGAGTCAGTTCATGTGAACTTGGCACACAACATAGAAGAAGAGAAATTTGCTAGTTTATTCTTTCATTGTTTTTCGTTTAATCAATTCTGGAAGAGTATCGTCTCTTAGGTTTAGTGTAATTTCTCTTTCTGTATTATGGCTTGTTAACTCGAGATGTTTTGTTTAGTTGAAGATCCTTGCGAGAATGGCCACTTCTAATGTGTTTGTATATCTGTATATTTCGTTTGCTACTAAAATAAGATTTATATGCCGTTATTAGTTTATAGCATATGTATTGAAAATTGTTAACTGACATAGGCAATTCCTTTCTTGCTCATGCAGCCTCTCTCCCTGTAGTCTCCCTTTCTTCTTTTCTTGTTGAGAAGATGGCTATGCAGAAACATATGTTTGAGCCTGTAAGTTTTCTTAATTAATTCTCTGGGAAATTTGCTCAAGATGGATTCTAACTGTGTATATGATTGTTTTCTTTACTTTTTTCAGGGTAATAATTGTTCCTTCGGATGGATTTCAATTGTGTATATAATAACTAGACGCTTACTGACTGAAATTGTAATTATAACCACTGTTGCAGTTTTCCATCCAGTTTTCATGATTCTCAGGTCAGTTAAGGTACTTCGCACACAATATTTTAGGAGGATTATCAGCTGAGTGATGTTAGACAATTTCTAGCTTTATCTATAGATTGCTACTCATGTTTTTAACATGTTGAAATTGCTTACATAATGTTATTGTATATTTTTAATGTCGACATAAGCCTTATGGAGAGGTAGAATAAACCATGCTGACTTTAAGCAGACAGTTCATTATTGATATTTCATGCCTAGTTCTTTTGCAATTTCATTTTCTGGATAATATGACAAAAACAGGTCCAACATACTTGATGAGAGAATATAGAAATCCATTTAACTACACAATCTAGCTTTCAATAATACATAAAGATGGAAAAACCATCTCGTTGTGTTATTATTAACATTCTCACTATCTATCATATAATTAGGAAGGGCATGTCGGCATTGAATTTTATTGCAGCCTTCTATGTTGGAAACTATCTTCTCTTAATTTGTAGAATGAATTTGTATCCATAGTATACCAGCTAAGTCTCCTTAGCTTTCTAGATATTCTGGAATATGTAATCTACCATTTATCTGAGGAATGATGATAAAATACATGATGGAAATTTGAAGGCCAAGTCGCAAGGTGTACTATTTGATTTAACGACTTTAAACTGTGTAGGTTTGACTTTGCTGTTTTATCCGGTGTAACATTGATTATCTTTGCATGCATTTTCCTTTTTTGAATTTCGCTGCTATTGTTTGCTTGAGTTTGTTTATAAACAATGTGAGGGTAATTGCTCATCCATATTTCCATTCGTGTACATAAGTGCTTACTGTAGATAATTGCTCATCCATATTTCCATTTTCCCATTTTCCCATTGTGATGGTTTTATATATGTTGACGGGACAAACAACGCCCATAGGTTGTGTTTCTCAACCCATATTTTTTTCAAAGCAATTTTCTTTCTCGACTGTGATTTATCGTTATGTTCAATCTTTGATATACTGAAATCAGGAATTTCTTCTTATCTTGTGAAGAAAAGAAACGATTCACTTCGTTGTCCTTTTCTGAACATTGCTTTGATGAGTTTGTTGACACCAAGTTCGAGAATGAAAAAGAAAAAAATGTATTGTTGCATTTGAATCTCCTTTAATAGCTAAGATATTTTATCTGAGTTTGGGTCTCATGTAGAGTACATGTATAAGAAATTATTCTACAGAATGCCATGAAACTGAATATGCATGAATGAAACTTGTGGTTGTGGAGCCTGGCCGTGCTTGGCTTATATTATCGTCCTCTCAGTTTCTTTAGTTGGAAAATTCTTCATTTAATGATATTTCGTTTGGAATTTCAGGTTGGGAACATGATATTTTGGTTCATATTCAGCATTCTTGGCCAACTAATGAGTGTCCTACTGACTTGGTGAACCGCCAAGGGATAGACTAAGCTACTCAGTCGTATGCCTATGTGGATGGATGGATGATTCTGGAGTGGCCATGAACTTACTTTACTTTCTGCAGGTAACACTACAATCTCATCCTCTTTCATTAACCAAATCCACTCTTAGCTCGAATTTGGTGCCTCCCCAAGTGCTTTAACCATAATCTCATCTCTTTCAACCAGTTTTTGGTTAAGAATTTCATTGAACTTGTGTATGTAAGGTTCTTTTGCAATTCCGCATGGGTTCAGACTACTCTATTGGAGCTTCTACGGAAAGATGGGGGCCACGAACTAGTATTCGACTCAATTCATGAAGCTAAACTGACAAAAAGAGGGGGTCAATCTACAGAAAGGTTTCACTTTCAACTAAACCTTCAATTTTTTTTATCTTACACGCAAAAAATGATAATAATAATATAATAAAAAAATTAAAAAAATATTTTAGGTTGTCAGGGATCATCAATTTTTAATAGATATTGAATGTAGACATTTTTCCCCTCATTAAAGCAGTTGAGTTTCCACATTGAGGTTCTTACTAATAAATGGTAAGTAAAGGAATTAAAAACATAAAATTTAGAAGGATAGCTGGTAGTCGGGTAATTTACGTTTGAATATAATAACAAGCATCTTACTTCACAAGAGTTTTGATTTATAGGGTGAACGTGGACTTCTACATAAACAAATCCCAATAAAACAAGGAATCACAAATTAGAGGCTGAGGAATCATAAATGGAGAGTTGAATATGTTCCCAAATCACCACACCCTTTTTAAATGGAGGAGGAAATAATCCTCCTATTCTTGTACAAGTGGAAAGTGAAGCAAGTGTCTTCGCTTTTTAATAATGCACCCTCTCGTCGTTCTCCAGGTGCAGCCCTTCGATCCCCTTCAAAGCAGAGTCGTAGTTCTTTACATGTCCTGAGTGCCTTCCTGATGCACCTTTCTTGGGATCAGAAGGTCCAACTGGTGGGCTTCTCTGTTGCGCACTTGTGCTCTTCTGCAATGCCCCTGGACTAGCATCCGTGGTTCGGGAGCGGTGTGGATCTGCTGATTCACTTCCAACATACACTTCCCGGCTGCTCGACACAGCTGCACGTCTTGATGATCCTCTCCCTGCAATATTAGAGCCTGGAAACTGCAATTGCAACACGACTCCCATCTATTATTATATTGGTTCACAATTTTATTCAATTAAAGTAGAATATATGATTAGTTGTTATACGTACCACAGAGTCTTTGGCAACTGCAGAATCGTTGGCAATTGGACTCTTCTGTTTGGCAGAAGTCCCAGCATTCATGGCCAGCCCGGATACTCTCCGCCTAGATGAATCCATCAAAGACGACATCCCAGCTAGTTGTGCCTCCTCTCCACCTAAGTCAAATAGAGGGAACAACACTTGAGAAGAGATTTAAAAACAAGTGGTTATCAGCCAACCAAAAAAGCTGAAAAACAAAATAAAAAATTAACCAAACTGATGAGCACCTGTCTGTCTATCAGGATTTGCCATACCAGGAGGGATTCCAGAGCTGGTTCCAGCACCGGCACCCTAAAGAAAAAGAAGACACATTCAGCGCTGCCTGAAAGAAAAGTCACAATTGCACAACAAAAGCAAGTTGCAAATAACTAACAAGGGTACGAGTCGGAGGCGTGGCTAGCTGTGATTGCTGATACTTCAAAATGGTCCAATCAAACACGTAATCAAACTGGAAACCTGTAGCAAAATACCAATAACAACAAACAGACATCAATATACCAGAAGTACAGGTATAACATATAAATAAATTAAAAAAAGAAAAAATTTAAAGAAAAGAAAAGAAAAGAAAACAAACCTTCACGAATAAAGAGATCACGAAATATTCTTTTGAGATAAGCATAATCTGGCTTATCATCGAACCGAAGCGATCGACAGTAATGGAAATATGATGCAAATTCTGATGGATAACCACGGCACAATGCCTAGAAAAGAATTAAATTCTTTTAGAAACAAAAGTAGTGTTAAGGAATGGCTCCAAAAATGTAATTTAAAAACAACTTGCCTCAATAGAGGTAGAAACTTTCTTCTCACTAATTTTCTCGTACTTCTGTTTCTTAGTTCCTGCTTTCAGTCCCTGCCAGGGAAGACTACAAGAACAAAGAAAGAATGAACTAGCAGTAGAAAGCTGTAGTCGATAGCAAAAAACAAAGTGGTGAAAACTAATCACCTTCCCCTCAAAAAGTACATAAGGACATAACCAAGAGACTCCAAGTCATCCCTTCGACTTTGCTCTGCAAACCAGATTGTCAGTAAAGAGAAAACTGGATTAATAAAAAAGGTGATAACAAGCTTTAATTAGTTAAATAATATGAAGAGAAAAACGATAAAACAATCCCCATAGGTGAAATAGAGGTTAAGGAGAGCCTTAATTTCAAACAAGTGCATCTAGAAATCACGGACATTATGAAAAGCAAAGAAAGTTGGGCGGGATTATGAAAAGCAAAATGAGGATTAGGTGGAGAAACTCGGAGGATGTTTTCAAAAGAACACTTTAAGGATTAAGTGGATGGACAAGAACACTCGGAGGATGTTTGGGAGTAGTATGTTTCAAGGCCGTGTTCATGGGCTTAATAGGAGAGCTAGAGTATTGTGGATTGATACTGTTAAAGCAATAGTAGTTTGGAGTGGAATCGGTGCATTCTTTAAAGGCAAACAAGTTAATTGAGTGGAAGGACTAGAACTTGTCAATCATCATATGATATTGACTTCTTGGGGTGCTTTCTTGTAACACTGTAAAAGGAGTCTCGCTATCTTTCTGTTGTAATTTCTCAAATATCAATTCAAGGCTTAGTTTCTTATTTCCACAAAAAAGCTGCATATCAAAATCTACACCCTATATGATTCACTATGTTTGAAAACTCTGGAATGAGTTGTAAACACAGATATAATTTTAAAAAATGTCAAAAAGATTTTTTGCCAATCATTACAAATATATATTTTATCAAATGTGTCCAGGCTATGTTTGTGTCCTAATTCTTAAGAAGATGATACATTAATGTAGTGCCCATTCATTTAGGTTACCACAGCTTCACGACCAAGGCGATTCCACATACTATTATTGATATGTTAAAGATTCAACGTGAAACTTGACGAGGCAATAGCAAGAACAGAGAACAAATATTATTATCTTAAAGGTAAAAGAAGTACCTATCCCAAGGTGGGTGTTCATGCTAGCATATCTTGCAGTCCCAGTCAAGTTCTTGTTTTCTCTACAGCAACCAGAAACAATTATCAAAAGACTAGCAATAAGAGCAAAAACAAAGAAATCATGAGAGAAGGTAAAGGCAACAGCTACGAACTCTTATCACCTGTAGGGAATGTGTTGATGAGTAGAACTATCTCTGTACTTCTTAGCAAGACCAAAGTCAATGATATAAACCTGCATATTATATAAAAAGGAAATTCTATATTATGCACCAACTCTGTACTTCTTTGAAAAACTAAGATTGATTAAGATTTTATGAAGTCAAATAACATATTCCAGTAAATCTGGAATAAATACCTGATTTGCACGCCTTCCCAGCCCCATCAGAAAATTGTCTGGCTTGATATCTCGATGTAGAAAGGATTTAGAATGGACAAACTCAACACGGTTAATCTGAGAAAACAACCACATCAAGTTTGGAATTTAAATTATAATAGAAGGCCGATAAGATGTCAATTTACTAAAAATTAATCTACCATTTGATCTGCAAGCATAAGAACTGTTTTCAAAGAAAGCTTTCTGCTGCAGAAGTTAAATAGATCTTCAAGACTGGGACCAAGCAAATCCATTACAAGAACATTGTAGTCTCCTTCAACTCCAAACCATCTTACATTAGGTATGCCAGCTGTGTTCAACAGATTCCAAAGAAGAAAAGTGAACATATAATTAACAAAAAAAAGTTATGATTGCACAAAAAGTAAAAATTAATAACAATTATAATAAAGAGAAGAAGGATGATTCATTACTTCCTCCCTGAAGAATTCTGTATAACTTAGACTCATACAGCAACTGAGGATGTTTCGTCTTGACGTTTTCCTGAATGTAAGAAATGTTTAGTAAAATGTGTTTTAAGAAGATGAACCAGCTCAGAAGAAAACGCAGACTACAGCATTCAGCTGAAAGAAGCATTTACAACACAATGAAAAAGTTATCAAACATGCACTGCATAAGATACAAGTTCGCATGCTACTCAACCAAACCAGAAAACTTTGCTATTTGCGTGAACTTAGCCAGGTCTCAGATAAATCGCAGCTTTCCTAAGAAGATTGCAACCTTGGTTCAAACATTAAAATTCACCACACTCACTCCATCTCCAAATCGCTTAACTAGAAAGCACTAGCTTCCTCTCAACTAGAACCAGAAAACTTCACTATTTGCATGAACTTAGCCAGGTCTCAGATAAATCGCTGCTTTCCTAAGAAGATAGCAACCTCGGTTCAAACATTAAAATTCTCCACACTCACTCCATCTCCAAGTCGCTTAACTAGAGACCACTAGCGTTCCTCTCAACTAGAACCAGAAAACTTCGCTATTTGCATGAACTTAGCCAGGTCTCAGATAAATCGTTGCTCTCCTAAGAAGAGAGCAACCTCGGTTCAAACATTAAAATTATCCACACTCACTCCATCTCCAAGTCACTTAACTAGAAAGCACTAGCGTTCCTCTCAACTAGAACCAGAAAACTCCTGCTATTTGCTTTATTTTAGCCAAGTACCACACAAATCGTTGTTAGTCTCTGAAGATAGCAACATCAGTTCAAACATGAATGTTCTTCTCATCCAAAACCTCTCCAGTTGGCGAATCTGACGCAAAACAAAAGGCTGGAGCAACTTCTGCGTAACTTCAACTCCTGGCTCGCAAATAAGGGAAAAGTTCATGGAAAATCCAGGCATGTATGGACTTCAGAACCACAAACGTCGACTCCGGAGGGGAAAACGGAAAAATGAATGCATCTAAGCATAAAAAGAGAAGCAGACTATGCGGAACTACAATCGCTGTGTTGAATTGAGATCGGAACACTTACGAGTTTAATTGCAACCTCTTCATTTGTCTGTATATTAGTACCTGCACAAAGAATTCAAACGTTAAGTCTACACAACTTCGAATGCCGAAGATCGAAGGAGAAACACGAACCGAGATAGATCTCCCCGAAGGAGCCACTGCCGATCTTCCGGCCAAGCCGAAACTTATTACCGACGCGAGGTTCCATCCGGCAAGCAAAAAGAATAAAGAGAAACCTAAATATGGAAGAGGATTACGAAAAGTTCAACATGGAAAGAGAGAAGAGAAGGAAGTGGAAGAGGAATGGAGCGTAAGGAGGGCGAAGAATTCAAAATTCACCGCCATCTCCACGCGGAGAGAATGGGGGGGAGGTTCATCGACTAGGAAAGGAAGGCAAAGAAAATGCAATTAGAGATCTAGGGCACAATTTTGGTTATCATTCCTTTTGGTCACTCCAAGGCCAGAGTTGGGTTAAAAGTTAGGTTTTACTCGAAACCCACAATAAATTTAATAAAACTGACTATTCCCCTTTTTCCAATTTCTGAGTATATTCAAACAATAAATTAAAAGGTCGGTACTGTCCCTATTAATTATTATGATTTTTTTTAATTCTCCCATCTAAACAATAAATCTTTTCTTTTTCATATTTTTATCTTTCAATTGACGGTTGGTGGACTTCCAACTTCTTTTTTATAAATAATGTATTCATCCCTTACCTAACAAAAAAATGATAATAAATCAACTAATAAAATGTAGGATTAAAAATAATTAAAATATAAACATAGCTTGATGTTTTTAAATATTAAAATAAAGAAATCACATTTCCAGAGGAAATTTGTATAATTTAGTATGAACTATAATGGCATAAAAGTAAAATCGTTTTAAATTATGGGTATTAAATTATATATATATATAAAAAAAGTAATTAAATATAATTATTAAATTGCTGGAATTGCGCCGTGAAAAGAACGTGGGCGTGAAAACGCGTGACTTGGCATATATAGATAGTCGGCGGGTAAAACGCGACCTCATTTACCAGATTGGCGCGTAATCCTCACGCAAAATATAAAGCGTGTTTCATTCTCCGTAGTTTTTTTATAAAAAAAATAAATAATTATTTAATTTATCAGTCTTCATTTCTTCTTCGACCGCTGTAATCATTTCCTATGTGCATCCCAAAACAAACCCCCCCGCAGTCATCATGGTGACGAGAGGGTATATATGACATTAACTAAATGAACAGATAAAATTAATTTTCTTAAAGAGTACAGAAGGATAGCTCACCGATAGGGGAGGGGCCGGCCGTTTTGGACTGATCATCTTATTCCTTCTGGAAACTTCCAAAGGGGGCACCATTCGGCTGACATACCTGCCCTACAGCCACGCGGGCAAAGATACCATTTATCCTCAAGGACCACACGTACATGAAATGATCTCTATATACTATGAGATGTTTAAATTCAGTCTAACTTTTAAGTCTTTAGAATATAAATAAATCTTTACATTAGGAATATAATTTTTTTTTTTTTTCCAAATTAATTTCAAAATTTTATTGAAGATAGCGATAGGAATGGCTCTCCATCAAATACACTCCCCCGCCGAAAAGACGATAGCGATGTTCATACGATCTCATGCTGCAAAAACAGTGACCTGCCAAAATTAAATTGGTAAAAAAAATTGTGCTAGATTTAGACAGTCACCAAGTCAAATAGCAATTTCAAAGGACTAACCTAACCAAGTTCTTTAGGGTGGATCAAAGAACCAAGCATCGTCGTTCAATTGGATGCCAATTCCTTCCTGAACAACGCAAGAAGATCTAAGGAGACCCCAACTTCAAAATAGGAAAAATTAAGTAAAACAAATTATAAACTCATCAACCTTATCATGACGCTTTCAGCTCCTCGTTGAACATAGGCTTGTGATGGGATAACACAATGCAAGCTTCTGATCAGCAGCATTTTGTCTTTCTCAGTCCCAGCATGTTCATACCCGATTCGGTATTAATCAGATTTCGTAACCATGAACGTGTTACCGAGAAAGAAAGCAAGGCGACAGAATGAATTCTCTTCGATCCCTGATTTAGCTGATTGATCCCATTTTCCCAGTGCTCAGCTGGGTTAGTAGCAGCAATCTACAACCACTCTCATTTCAGATTAGACTTAGATCCAACGCCTAATAAGAAATCCAAAAGTTTTGAAGCTTTGGCTTGATCATTCTTCAGACTTCCACTTATCTTCTCATTCCTATCTTCCTTGTTACCATCGTTACTTCCAGCAGAAGCACTTGATTTACCCTTATTCATCGACTCATATTTTGCAGCAAATGCCAATGTTGACAGTAGAGCCTTCTGAGCGGAGTTTGGAGTTCCCTTATTCATACTAGAAGCTGAGCTATCAGAATATTGACCTGTTGTCATCGAAGTACCGGGAAGCCTCGAGAATATTGTACTTAAGCCTTCAGGCTTAACATACATGCTTTCCTTCATCGGTACAGATAGATCAGAACTCACTTTTGAGTTGGAAGTACAATTTCCTACCGGAGAAAAGAAGTTCGTCAGTTTGGACGTTGTCATTTGTACTTTCTTCGCCAGTTCAATGGGATCGTGACCAGTTTTCGAAGCAGATGGAGTCTGATTACCGGATGTAATAGTGGCAGCATTATAGCTTGAAGGTGTAGCAAAGTTCTCACTGTTAGACCTGAGTGAAGTTCTACCAAACGATAGAATACTTATCCCCTCTGGCGCGCTTTGTGGCTGAATCTTCCTTGAGATTTCGCTAGAATTTTCAACTGAACACAACCCACTTTGGGTTAACGAATTCCTACGTTCCACATCATTGTTCTTCACCTGCGAAGAATGGTCGGGTGACTTCCCAAAAGAGAGAAAACTGATTCCAATCGGCAGTGATCCCGTTGTTTTTTTCGGCAAAGATTCTCCCTGTGGAGTTCTATTGCAAGAAGCTCCAGCGTAGCTGGGTCCAGTAACAGAAACAGGCTTTTGCTTAGTGCCACCACTCATATTTGATTTCCTTTGAGAATCCGAACTATCCGGTGTTACTGGTGGTTTCGATTGGGTTTTCAAATTTTGCATATTAGACGGTTCTTGGGGCAAAATCTGCAACAAATTATTTAAGTATTAACAAGCCATAATGCACCTAGACTAATAAAACTGAAACTCAAAGGGAATTGCAATTCAGAAAGCAAAAAAGTATACCTTGTGTGAAAACATACAAGTATCACCTCTAGGGCATGAACCTTTTGATACAAAATTGCTACAAGGATACTTGAACAGCTGATGATCAAAAGGACAGTCGTCACCTTTCATACACGAATGACGTGCAAAATAACTACATGGCTGCAAGATCGATACGATTAATTAATACAGAGAAAGGAATGTGCGTGTGTATATATATAGAGATCATTTTTTAAAACTAAAGCACAATATATTTATAATTCGGAAATGGACAAAGTTATAATCACATAACAAGCAAGCTGAAAGCCAAATTGGCAATAAAACTAAACCATTCCAAAATTAGGCAAAATCACTTTGTGAAAGAATTGATTAGATGAACTAAAGCGACAAACATTAGTGAAGAACCAGTAACGTACTATGGATTTTGTCGCAGGAGTTGTATCATGAGAAAATTTACACTTGTCACCCTGCAAAATAAAAGCAAATGGAAATTTAAGTATGCCCACAAATTTACCAATTATAAATAAATAAATTACAGAATTAAGTATACAACCTCATGACACCTCCCCTTGATATAATGACGACAGTATACCACAGGTTTAGGCATTGTTACTGGAAGTAGCTTCAACCTTTTGACACCAAGTTTTCTGTTCTTCTCTGCCCGCTTCTTTCTTTTCTGAATCTTGAGAATGTAATCGTCATAGCGAGTTAGAAAAAAAATACTAATACGAACACACCATAGATGAATGAAGAATATAGGACACTTTAAAACAATAGATACATGAAAGATGTGGTAATACCTTTTTCCTTTCTTTCCTCCCTTCTGTACATGAACCACGTTTTTTCTTATTGCAAGCTCCAGTTTCCTGCCAATAAAACTTTTTTAGACCAAAAAAGTCGAGTAGTTTTTTTATTTATCATCACAATTAATCAAATCCACATCATACACGGTGGTACAGAACGACAATAGCCAATATTTTCCATCCAATAAGAACTTGTGATTCGTGAAACTGCAAGAAGTACTACCACAGGCATGTTCCAATGCTCAAACCAGATAGTTATGACAAAAAATTCCCTCTTAAATTGTTGATACTATAAGTCCTATGGATTAGATAATGTCATCAGTAATTAGTTTATTGGAGCACTGTGAACACGATACTATCAGAAAGAACGTAGAACTTGAAATAATAATATAACAATACCTTTTCCGTCGATACAATTTCTTTCCGTCCAGTTGCACATTCACTTGGAACTTGGCCACAAGGGACTTGATTACTAATGCGTGCGGTAAAAGAATCTGCATCCCTTTTGGGTCTACTATCCTTTACTGTATATCCTGCTTCCTCTAACATAAAATCATTTTGATCTATTATAGTTGTCACCATTTTTACAGAATCCATACTACCATGTTTACAAGCATCCAAACTACTCTTCTTTTGTTTGGATTCTTCTTTATTCTCATGAGTTGCATACTTGACTATGTCGGAGAATAAGGAATCCGGCTTCTTTGCTTCTCCATTAGCTTGAATCAAGGAATGCTTCTCATCTAATACAGCTGGATCTTCTGAAATTTCATGTGTCGAATCACCACAAATTTCACCCTCCTCAATGTCTTCATTTTCAATCAAACATTTGTCCATTTGTATATTTTCAGACACTATTTTGTGCCCTACTTCGGAGGTGTCAACCTCCATTGAAACAGCCCAATCTTCACTATCCTTACTCAATTCATTAGCCCAGAAAGGCATCTCTTTATCCAAACATGAGAGATCTAACCCCCAAACCTTTTCACTACATTGTTCACCATCTTCCACCTCCATGACCTCAAAACTAGAAACATGAGATCTCTCCATCTCTAAACAAGGCTCGCAAACTTTGCCCTCAGGTTTTGATTCTTTTGGTTGTGTTTCAGTCAATTGGTACATGCCCTTATCTTCAATCGGAAGTATGTTTTCCTGATTGTCCTTATGTTTAGAAGCCTCCTCAATGTTGTCGCCTTCTGACGAGAATATCGTCATAGAAAGATTCTGGGCTCTGTTCACAGCATCTTGTTCAGCCATAACTTGTTGATGTTCAACAATTTCTTCCTGGAACTTTTTAGGTGATATTTGATCATTTTCACAATTGGTCTGATCCGAAGACCTCATCTTATTGCTACTGTTGTCATCAATAAGCACCTTATTTCCTTCAACCATATTTGCTGCCTCTAACTCATCACTATGACTTTCCTCATGAACACAACGGTTCTCTTGAGAACTAGCCCCCTGAAGTTCCCTTTCAGCACTCCCATTGTCACTTCTTTCCACTATTGACATATCTTTTATTACATTCATCTTCACTTCAGATTCATGAAAATATCCATCTTCAAGACTATCCATCCCCACGCCATCTTCAACCACTGTCACCGTTTCAATAGCTGAATCACCAATTTCCGGTCTTACAAAATCTTCACCGAACTGCTGGCCTGATGATTCTACAGTTGATTGCTTTAAGTGGCTGGTATAAGCTGCTCGACAGACAGAATTATGAAAGTCACAAAAAAGTTTCTCAAAAAAAAACGCGATGCAATCAAATTTTATACCAGTTTTCATGCTTGAAGGCCAGGTGTAAAAAATGATTCTACAAAGTTAAAGAACGGGGAAACGACACAGTTGCCATCACAGTCACTCAATTTTTTAATATAAATAAATAAATAACACAATGTTAGACCTTCATCCTGTGTTCAACCCTGAAGAGACAAGATTTTACAGTATTGCGTTTTGAAGTAAGGCATGAACTTAAAACTCGGAAGATATCTCCAAACAATACAAAACCTAACCGTTTGGAAACTAGCACTAGGACCATTATAGTTAATCCATGAAAGCACTCAGAAAGAAAACGTGCGTTTGAACGAGTTATAAGTACAATTTTTGCTCTTGAAACCTCCACGGAACGATGTTGTTTGAATTGGATTAAGTCCTCAGTTACATTTGCGCACAAAAACCAACCGGATAAATTGAAAGAGATTTTCGATGATACCATGTCTCAGTTGTTGTGGATCAAATTCCGTCGCCAAAGAGACGTCGTCGCTGCCGCAGAAGGGCGAAAGGATTCGGACCAGAGTCCGATAAGTGTCGCTCTTAAGATGTGATCGACGGTGAGGTGGGAACATTAATTTTGATTCGACTAACTTCGTGGCTTCAATACGAGCGTCCTCCATGAATACTCAAACCTACCACTTCCAACTAACGGATTCCTACTGTATATAAACCTCGATTCTACGAGGAAACTGAGAAGTTCATCGAAGTGCAAGTGAATGAAACCTGGTGGTGATGAGGAGAGGCCGCCATGAAACCTCGTGGAATTAAAAATGGCGGAGAGGTGAATTGAATAAACATGGAAAGCGGGCTACAGGGAGTAATGATATATTTGGAGCAGAGGCTTGCAAATTTATAAGGCGGTTTTCGCTCCACTAGACCTCCAGCCTCGCTCCTTTCTCGTTTACATTCCCTTTAATATGGGCTCAACACGGCCCATGAAAATGAGTGGGCTTAGTTTCGACTTTGTAGGCGTAAATGAGAGGGAACTTCAAATATCAAATCTAGATTTATATTATAATTGTCTTATTTATTTATTTATTGATTTTTATAAAATCTCAAATTAAAATCCAAAATTTAGATTTATCTCTCAATTATTTAATTTTATTATGTTTTATAAAAAATTTTAAAAAAAGAGTTGAGTTAGAGAGATCCAAAAATAGTTATGTTTTATAAAAAAAAGAAAATAATCGAGTATATAATCGAAGAATACTATCTCCATTAATACGAAAACTTATGCTCAAAGCGGATAAGATCATAACTTTATGGAGTCATGTTCATCGAACAATACAGAATCATGTTCATCTAACAATACAAGGTTGTGAGAAGTAACTTAATCATTTATGATACCATTTTTATGAATTGAAACTAAAATTATGATCACAGAAAAGGCAAAGAAAAAGGCTAAAATAAAAGATAGATATGGAATATATAAAGGAAAGGCAACATCTTATAGAGTAAAAACAGGTTCAATAAATAACACTTCACATAAAAACTAATCCCAACTTCCCCCCAACAGACAGACAGACGCGGAAGAGCAAGAAAAAAAAAACCCATCATCCCCTTCACAACCCAGCAATTGATTTTTTTTTTTTTTTTTTTTTTTAAAAAAAAAAAAAAAAAAAANCCAACAGACAGACAGACGCGGAAGAGCAAGAAAAAAAAAACCCATCATCCCCTTCACAACCCAGCAATTGATTTTTTTTTTTTTTTTTTTTTTTAAAAAAAAGAAAAAAGAACAAGGAAAGGGAATGGACTGTCCTCCTAAATCCCCTTTCAGTACTACCAAAGTATTAATCATCATAGACAATAAAGAACCATATAAAAACTGCAACCCAATCCCCCATCCCCTCCCTTCCCCGGCGGCCATTCTCGCTCTCTTTTCCACCCAAAAATTACTTGTACAGCGGACTCTCATAACACACAGACAGTCTCACCGACTCGTTATCGATTTCATTCCTACTGCTGCTTGCATTCTGGAGGCCTCTCCCCCTGCGGACCATCCCCAGCTGCTGCTGCTCCTCCTCCTCTTCCACCCTTCTGGAGATTCCAAACAAACAATATGTGAGATAAAGAAAGGCACATTCAAACACAACTTCGTTCAAGGAAAGAGTTTGGTTGGACTGAGGAATGGAATGGAAGTGTACCTTGTTCCCAGCTGACAACTGCTGACACCACAACACAAAGAATTCAATCATTAAGTGTTACAATTTTGTCAAATTCCAACTGCTAAAACAAAAGGGTATACAAGTAAATGAGCTAAAAGAAGTGGCATACCTTTTTCCTGGATTTACCTTCATCTTCGTCCTCATCTTCGTCATCATCATCTTCATCCTCGTCGTCCTCGTCCTCATCCTCATCCTCATCATCATTGTCCTCGTCGTCGTCATCCTCATTATCCATGTCTTCAAATTCCTCATCTTGAATAGCTTCCCCTGTAAACCATGAGACAGCATGCGGAATAATCTTGTCTCGAATTGTTGACCTACGAAGAGAATAAATGAATATAAAGATATCAATATACGTTCAAAATCTTCATATCCATTCAAAAAACAACAAAGTCCATATATGAGAGCTTTATTACAGAAAATATAGATAGATAAACACATAGCACATTGAAAATTAACATATGATTTGTCGTACGACTAAGCATGTCAATATAACTCACCCGATATCATAATCTTGCTCCATTTGATTTTGAAGCTCCTCAGCCTGACAAAAGAGGTACTAAAATTAAGAGCAGAGAAATAGATGAGCATTTTATTGGTTTTTACAACGAATTGATATTTAAACATACAGTGTCCTCATCAATATCTTCATCGTCATCAGGCACTTGAGGTGGACTGAAAAAGTTGAAGAAACTTTCACAATTTTCAGTCTTCGTGATTGGCTTTGCATTTTTCGATCCCTTCTTAGGCTTCTTCTTCAGTAGCTTCTGGGTCAGACATTTTCCTGGATACCATTCAATCTCCGTTCTGCCAACAGTGATAATCATATTCAGTGCAAATATAACGAAGATGAGATTCATACAGCAAAAGAAATAAGTCTTTAAATTAGCATACAAAATACTGATGAGGCAAAAAGAAATTACCCAATTGCTTTCTCAAGAATTGGCTCGTCTTCGTCAATCATGTGATATGTCTTTGTCAAGACAGAATTTTTAAAGAAGGGGTTAGTGTCGAAAAAGAACTCAAGCTTGAATCCTTTGGGATTGTCTATTCTACACCACTTGATATCTTTCAAATATTTGAGAGCTCCTTCATCACGCTCGGTAACCTAAAATAAAATTAGCAGAATTCAGGTACATAGCGTCACAACTAGTTGGTTCAATGATTCTACAAACACAGGAAAACAATAAACAACAGAAAACACAAACCTCCTCAGCTAATACTTCATTGTTCTTCATTGCATTAAGCCAAAAGTCGGGCACTCCTTTCTCTACAAAGAAAGAAGGGAGCTTAAATATAGGTGATTTAAATCAAACAGATAAAAACAATGTATCAAATGAAGGTTTAGAATTGAATTACCTGCTGCATCTTTGTCCTCTTCTTGTCCAGCAGCAGATTCCTTTCCAGCTCCTTCAGCATCAACAACACCATTTACAATATCGTATCGCTGCAGAGACATAAGAACTAATCAACAACTAAACAAAATATGTACTAATACAACCTCTAGTACACAAAATTCACACCTGAGAGTACAGTGGCTGATACAATTTCTGGTATTTGGCCTCGAGCGCCAACCTTTCCTCAAAAAATTTAGCCTCTAATTCGTCATGTTGGCTCTGTTGAATAGGATGAGTTATAAATAATTCCAAGGCGATACAAAGCAATTACAAAAAGAGCAGAAGCAAGAAACCAAAAAGTCCTTATAATGAATAGTAAAGAAGCAGAGAAATTATACTTGCCTGGATCTCTCTTAGAACCTCGACGCGCTTACGAACAACAGGAGACAAGTTCTCGAGGATATCAGAGTGCTGTCCAGCGAGGCTCTGAATCTTATTCTGCAAACCATCAAAACCCGAATAAAATCAACCACCGCTAAACCCAAACCCCTTAAAATTCCATCTAAACATTGTTATAGCACCATTAAAATGCGGTAGAGAAATCAAACACAGTATTATTCAAAACTTTACACTCAATTCAAAGTAAACACTGCAAAAAAACATACGAGAATATTCCTGATTCTAATATTATCGCCCACTATAGTTTGACCAAAAAAGAATAGAAAAAACAATTTTAGTACCTTGAGAGCATTGACGAGGCCTGCTCGATCCTCCTCATTGAGAGCTTCAGAATTAAAAACCAAAAACCCTCAAAATCAATATGTGAAAAAGGAGAAATGGATATAATGACAAACAGAGGAAGTAAATCGAAAAGAAGAAGAGGAGAAACAAGATTACCAGAACCGAGATCGGAGACGTTGAAGTTATCCTTGTTGTTGCTCATTGAGAATATAGCAAAGAGATGGTGAGCGAAGGGAAGGGGGAAGTTGGTAGTCTAAAACCCTAGATTGAATACAAGGGAGCGAGGAAAGAGGTGTGAAAAGGGCAGCCTCAACGTGCCCGACCGTCTAAATACCCTCGCACACTTGTTCGAGACCTAACACTCCTTCCATTTATTTCCTTTTATATGGAACGCCCAAGCAAAATACAATTTCAACAATTCAAAATTAAATCTCCTGAGGCGGGCTTTTACAATTCGGCTCATATATTTTCCCGTAAAAGCCCAAATTAACAGGTCCGGCCCATTCGCGGTGTCAAGCCCATCTGATGTACCAATAGATGTGTCCCACGTGTTCTTATACAATCATGGAATTTAAATACCAATTTCCAATTCCTGGTTGCTTTTTCAACCTTTATATTGCATGATATTTTGTAAAGGAGTTGGTTGGGACCCACCCGTTCATGAAGATGAATTGTATTTGAATTAGGAAAGGATTTGGAGAAACATTGTTCTTTTGACTAATTCTTTAAAAATAATAATTTTAAAATAAAAGTCAAAAAGATTAAAATATTTTTTATGAGGACCCAAAAAGACTAAAAATATACGTAAATTTATTTGTTTATATTAAGGTGAAGTTCATAATCTTATAATAGGAAAAAAAAATTTAATATTAAAAAATTAGAAGAAAATCCAATAAAACAGCGTTTACACGTGGCAAAATATCATTGGTCTGTTATGGTTGTTTTTCGTTGTACGTGGTCGCCAAGTCAGACACAATTCTTCTCACTGCTTCCAGGAAACCCGACTCGTCCCATTCGCCATCCTATTCACAGACAAAATAAATAAATAAATAAATAAATAAATAAATCAAAATAATTTAAACAAAACCCTAAAAATGAGAGAGAGGAAGCAAACCTGAAGGCTGAATCTGAAGCGGAGGCGGCTAATAAGAGAAGAAGGAGAAATCTGTTCAATGCCGTGAAATGACAAAATTACCCCCACATTCACTACATTCTTCAAGAATTCCAACACGCGAATTACAATATCCGCCATTAACGATCCTCCGCCTCTAACCGTAATTTCCAAGTCTATGATTTCCATTCCATTAATAGACGGCGTAAACCCCGGCGGCGCGTGGGAAACCCTAACGGTGAAGCGTTCGTAAAGTAATGAGTTGGCAGTTTCTTCCCCTTGAGACTGAGCTTCTAGAAGCCTCTGGTTTTTATGGCTGAGCTCTGAAACTTGCTCTCTCAATTTGGTTAAGTATTCTCTTGTGGTTGCTAGTACTGATGATTTATCTTTCTACGTACGTAAATTCATTAACAAAATAATAATAATAATAATAATAATAATATTAACAAAAAATATGCATGAAAAATTGATTATATTTAACCTTAGTTCCGGGAGGAAGAAGGGATCTCAAAGCTTGGAAGCTTCCATTAAGCTTCTCTCTTCTTCTCCGCTCCGCTATCATGTGAAGCAATTGAGCTGACCCGGGTCGACGACGAAGGAAGTTCATGGACAACGACGGTTTATAATCAGTTTCAAAGGAAGATGAAGTGGGGGGAGGAGGGTTGTTAAGAACCGCCATTGAGGAAAATGGACTTGTTGCTCTCATCTTCTCTACCATATTAACCTGAAAATTATTCAAATATTATAATACTGAAGTATATTTTCACCATAAAAATTAAATTGTTACAAATTTAAAAGTATAAGCCAGTTGAATTACCTCGGAGAATCCAAGTTCGATTTCTCCATTGCTGCAGCCCATGAAAACTACACTCTGATATTAATAATTAATCAACAAAAAACGACACTCAAGTCAATTTCGAAGATTTATTTTGGGAAGCTCAAAACAAAACCACGAGAGTTTATGCTGAAAATGAATGACATCATATCATTGTGAAGAGTCATAATTCTTAACAGAAAGTTCGTCCAACGTACCTTAATCCCAGCTGCCTGCGAAGAAGAGGAAGAAAGAACATAAATTTATATCCTTAATTTTCTCGAACGTGAAAAAAAAAACACACTTACAGCATAAAAATGGGACTGAATTTGGGAAGAGGAATGGGCGTGAAGCAAAGATTGATGAAGCTCTAAAAAGAAAATGTTGTTGTTGAAAGCATGGCCAGGAACAAGGCTGTTCATAATAATTACACTCACATCAACAAATAACAAAACAAAGGGTTTTCGATGATGTTGCCCACTTTGATTTCTCGAACTTTCCTACTTGTTTTTCACATTGGAGTGAGGCATTTTGAGGAAGCCCAGAGCAAAGTTACGAGAGTTTGTGCTCAAAGTGGACAATATAAAATCATTGTGGAGAGTTCGTGTTCCTCTACCATCCATTACGGAAGAATAAAAGAAAAGGCTTTCTTACTTGTTTTCCACCTTGAATATCAATGGCTTGTACTCATCAAAAAGCCTCCGTTCAAAGCTGCCCAATGAACTGCTGGGTTGGTTCGCATCATCCTCCCGGAACAACGCATCAAGATTCAACAAACAGCTATCAAAAAACTCAGAAATTAATACAAAAAATCAGAAGAAAACTGTGTGTTTTACTGAGAGCATGAAGGTAAGTGATTAATTACTGAGAAGGATGGGGTAAATAAGACCAAAGGCAAATGTAAGTGGGGTGAAAAGATTGCATAATGGCTCGAAGGAAGGTGGCTCTGGGTGCCTCGTCCAGAGAAAAGACAGTATCCATAATACACAGAAAGGAGAAGAAAAGGGTTGGAAGGTGGAGGCAAAGGGAAAGGGTTTTCCAATTAATATCAACTTCAAATTTGACAATCAGCCTTTAGGGACAGAAAAGTAAAATATATATATTTAATAAATTAAAAAAAATATATATATGTTCCTATTGGAGGGTCCATGCATTACCATTCTTCCCGGTCTCACTCGGACTCTAAATTTTCAAATTTTCAATGGAACTACTTTGTTTCGAAAATAATCGAGTGGGAGTAGGCCCCGAGCGAAGACACGACTTCGGTTATCGAAAGTTATTGGGCCAAGTCGTGAGGCCCATCGAATCAGTTAGCCTGTTTCTATTAGGGCTTGGAGCCCACAATAGGTCCATGATTTTACATTTTTAATATAAATTATATTACAAAATTAAAACCATCCATTAAAAAAATATTATTAATTAATTATTTAAATATTAAAAATAGAAAAACAATTGATAAATATATAAATTATTGTTACAAAAAAATAAAAAAGATAAAATGTTTGATTTCATGGATGCATAATTCCAGTTATTGGGTCTCGGGTGTGTCGGCAAATCTGCATTTCAATAAAATTATTTTTAAAACCTTTTATTTTTTTCCTTTAATTTTTTTATTTACTTACATTTACCAATCAATTTTATTACATTTGTATATAAATATAATAATTATATTTACTCACATTCAAAACGTTCCTGTAAATTAAAATCTTTAATGATTTGACAAGAAACTACCAGCTTTTCCAAGTTAAATTCAACATCTTTAGTGGTAAAAAAATAAAAGTTAAAAAGCTAATCAATGTCTAATAATATTGGGAATATATAATCTAATTACTGCCTCCTACCTATATATATATAGTATTTGTTTTCTTACACTGCTAGGGAAAAACATAATCTCAGACATTGAAAATTCTCTGTCCCGGAGAGAGAATATATTTAGGGTCGAACTTCATTTTCATATCTCCGAAATTTGTCCATTTGGAACCAAAATGGTCGATCCATTGTCTTTGTGTCTTGTAATTCGGAAGATATTGTTTGATTTCAATCCCACTTTTCTCACAAAATTCTAATATCTCTTCGTTTTGTCGGTCAAACGATTTCCAATCATCAAACCCACTTGAATGCAAAAATCCTATCGTGTAAAACACCTCTTCGTCGGGTATAACCGTTGAATTTCTACTATCCCACCTGCATTTTTATTGTACCAATTCATAATATTAATTACGATGAATTGGTAGTCGACATACGTTAGATATAGAAAACGTTATTTTACGAGCTTACTTGGAGTAGTTCATTGGGTAGATGAGTACAGGTCCTTTGGTTATATTTCGCCGTAAAACTATGTCTTTGAACACACCTGCATCAAAATCGAAGATACGAGATTTCGGTACAAAGAGATTTAGCCATGGATGAGGAACGTTCCACAGTGCCTGGGATTGAAGCTTCAGTTCTCCACTTCTAACCCTATTTAGAAATTTCACGTACGTTACATCTTTCTCAAACTTGAACCCGCTCTCGTAATCTAACCCTTCGAATAATACTTCAAGGTCCTATAAAAAAAAAAGCAAACATATAAGAATTATCTTCTTTTAGACATCGGGAGCGAGAAAAGTATTAAATCTATACCTTGTCTATAGTAGATTGAGTATGACGATCATAATATTTAGCAACCTCAAGGCAATAAATAACAGAGTTTTGATTAGCCAAAGAAATTATTCTAGGATGATCAGACGGTGGAAAGAACGAGGAACGCCAAGTATCCGGTGAGTCATGATGCAGCAGAACCAAACCCTCCAAATAATCCAGTGCATTCGCTTGTTTTCTTTCATTGAATGAGATCAAACGCTCTTGATCTTTAGCAAACGCGAAAAAGTTAGTGTACAACATTCGTATCCATTTAACCTGCAACCGAATTCCACATCATCATCAGTATCTTCGAATTTCACATGCGTTCATACATAATAATAATAATAATCATAATTAGCAGACAAAGCATGAGATTAAGAAGTAGTAAAACATATGCATGAGAATTAATTCGGAATTTGTTTGTATTATTGGATACGACACCGTTTTGATGGTTGGAAATGACAGAAACACTCCCAAACAAAGACAATGATATGTTGGGTGGTTTAGAAGCATTCATTGAATAATCCATAGATACTTCCTTACGTTTAATCAACCTTACAAACTATATATATATATATATAAGAAATATAAACCACAATTGTAAGAATAAGCCTTTTAAATATTTAAAAAAAAAAACCATAGAATAAAAAAAAGGAAATAGAATTTAAATAAATAAATAATTACCCTGTTTGGAGCTGGTTCCAAAGCTATTCTTGCCCGAGAAATAATCCCAAATTGACCCAAACCCCCCAGAACCGCATGGAATAGCTCAGAGTTCTTTTTAGCAGAGCAAGTCAGCATATTCCCC